TAGGACGTTAGTGCAGGAAGGCTCGATGCAAGTTCACCTTTCGCAGTAGGCTCCAGAACGCTTCGATCAGATACATTGGCGATGGACGCGCGTTCAGAACGGATGTCCGGTGGTGACGACGTCGATGGTAGCAGTTGGTGGAGCTCTACAGAATGAACCCCCGTACGAGGGTCCGTTCCATCTCGACGATCTTCTCTTGCATGCTGCATTACCCGAATTGAATGCAAGTGCTTGAACTGAACTCCAAGAGTTCGTGTGCCGAAAATAATTTTGGAGGCGCATGGTGCAAGGCTGAAGCTTTAGTAGAATTATTCGGCCCCCACGAGGCGTCCCATGGTGGGTCGCAGTGATACATGTGCACCTGGTGTGCTTGGCTTTCGAGTTGGAACCAATCGATGCGGGATGGCCACTGTTACGCGAGCGAGGAAGCTCGTGTTTTGAAGCAACGCGCTAAGGCCAAATTCGGTGTACGCGGGCTCCTTAACGGCTGCCCTACTCGAATCCTCGAGGTCGTACTGCACTGCCACTAGAGGCGGTATCACCCCACATCAGCTCCTCTGTTCTTGTTCACGCAGGCTCATAACGTAAAATCCATATTAGGCTCAAGAGAAGTGTAAAAGTCTGTTGTGACCCACATATGTAGGTATGTGGGTAGGGTCTGCCGGGCGTAAGCTGACAGCAGATTTTCTCGGTATGCAGTCTCGACCACCGCCATAAGGCCGCGAAGTGTAGTGGTCTGAATAAGTGTCTGTAGCATGTCAGATACAGCAACAGATGGATTGGAACTTTAGGGGAAATGATGTGACGTGTGCAAACGTTAGTCGCATAAACTCTATAGAAGCTTCAAAATACGTTCGTGCCCGGGCATGCACTAGAACATATCCGCGCTCGAATATCAACTGTGTAAGGAAAGTCGTGAACACACTCGTATATTGTAAATACAGAGTGCTTATGGTAGTTTTAAGACGAATGGGCATGATTAATATTTTGTTTCACATCTACATGATTTGTCTATCGTGACTCAAAAATACCAGCTTTTCTTCATCCCACATTACTTTACTCTTGCTCGGGCCTTCTCGAGTAATGTCCACTCTATTCATCACACGTTCGTATCTGCCGTAAACATAATAGGTGTCCACCCAGCCTCGAGTCTTACGCGACCAATGAACTTGCACGTTTGACGAATGGTTGACGCAGGAAAGAAGGACCTTTCTCTGGCTTCAGCAGAAGTTTCATCTGTGTCGAGGGGCCGAATTGGCCGATGCACAATAGTGGTTGGGATACACCCGTAGATCATCTCGTGGAGCTCTGGTGGAAGGGAGAGGAAGCTCACTGGCGGAGGGAGTATGGTCGACATGTCGATTGCAGATGCTTCCTAGTGTAAGAACTGAAGCGTCTTATATATGTCCAACAGAATTGATCTCAATCAATCGCATGATTGAAGTACAGACAAACATACAATCGTGACCGTGGTCACAGCACCTGTTCTTGTGACTGCAGTTCCGCATGCCTGACAGCCTTCAAAATGGCCAGAGCAATGCTAGATGATTTTGTCAATGCGTCCAAAACAGCACTTGAGACGAGATTCTTGCCAGCAAGCCTCTCACAAGACATCTCAACATCTTCACCGCCGCCCCCTACCCCCATCCTCCTCCTCACTAAATTCCTCCAACTCAAACTCCCCCACGCCCCTCGCCACCTCTTCGTCCTCAACCCTCTTCCACCCCTTGCCCCCCTCATCCGCCGGATTCTTGTACGGCTCCGCACACCCCCTACTCCCCAAACCCGGATAATACCTGCGATAGGTCGCATGCGCAACGCCCAGCCCCAACAAACTACCCACACTAACATCCCACACATCATGTCTATAATCCTCACACCTGGATATCGCAATCAGTGCCGCGCCCAGCAGCGGCGCCAATGCCACCAGCACGCGCGCGAGGTCAGCCCGGGGCCGGTAAACATGGCACTGCCCCGCGATCCACAGACTCAGGTATCCGAGGCCGGCGAAACTGAAGCTGGAGTGCCCGCTGGGGAAGCTGCGCCACCCGTCGTGCAGCACGTGGTGGTTCGTCTCGGTGCAGACTTCCCAGGTAACAAGGGTGTGGGCGGGCGTGCCGGGGGCGGGTTTGCAGCGCGCGATGAGGTCGGGGCGAGGGCGGCCGACGGCGTTTTTGATCACGTCGGTTATGAAGAGGGTCAGGAGCATGGAGACGAGCCAGCCGAGGAGGGTGACGTGCGCTTTGTGCGGCGAGGGGCGCAGGAGGAGGGCCCAGAGGATGAGGGTGGTGAGGGGGAGGGCGCCGGCGTAGATGAAGAGCCATACTGTGTTTGATGTGTTAGAGAGCGGGTGGGTAGGGGTGAGGGGTGAGGGGAGGGAGGTACGCACACACGGAGACGCGCTCGACTTCGGCATGGGGGTAGGATATGGACAGGTTGTCGAGGAAGAACATGCGGTGGAAAGGTTGGGCGAAGAATTGGAGCTGCGCCTTCTCGTCAATTGGCTCAGTCTCACGTGGTCCAGAGTTAGGAAGCATACCAGAATATATCCTGCTATCAGAATAGCCAGCCCGACATAGTCGGAGGCGTACGAGCGCTGTTCAGCGAGCGTCAGTTGTGCTTTGTGGACACGCGATAGCTGTCCTCACCTGCCGGAACCGCGCAGCGGCACCAAGGAAGCCTGGAGAGTTTGTGAGGTCGGCCCCGATGCGCCTTTGCGATGCATTCGCATTGGCAGGCATGGTCGTTCGTTATTGGAGTGAAAAGCGCATTGTTTGGGTGCTGAAGCTTGGTCGATTGAGCTTCTCGGAGGTGTGGCATGAACTCCGCAATGACGAACGCCACCAGGGTCTGAGCGCTAGTTGTCCATCACCATCCATCACTGATTGTAGACATAGTCCAGGAGATTTGTAGCAGTAATTAGACAATCGAGAAATTAAAACTTTTCAAACATGCCAGCTCTTCCTCCCAGTGATCCACTTCAAGCTCGCACACCAGCCCTCCACTTCGCCCTTCTCTGCCTTTTCACTCCAGTCCAAAATCTCCTGTCGCGCAAGCTCCAGCGCTTCCTGAATCTCCTCAATAGTCCATACTTTCTCCTTGTCTCCCCACTTGGTCAACAAACGCGGCAGTCCCAGTTCAAAAGTCTCCATGACCACGACTAGCATTAGCTTTCCAATCGACTTTTGCGCTTCATCTTGATGCCACTGCCCGACTGGAACATTGACATGCGTCGTCTGAATGTCTGTGAATCCAGCTTCTTCGAGGTAAGAGGGGTGCATGTAGAAGGTCCCCAGGGGTCTGCCAGATTTGAAAGACGCCTCTATCCCAGCCGCATAGATTTTGCGAAGGGTCGGCAATGGGAGCACCGAGGGCGTACCAGTTGTTGGCGAAGACAAGGGAGGTACCTGGCCAAGATCCCAATCTGCAATCTCGACCCATCCGCCTGGCGATAGACTCTTGTAAATCTCGGCATAGACTTCCTCCCAGTGCGTGAACGCGCCCTTCATATTCCTTAGATGAATGAACTCGTACGCATCGCTGAAATGCCACCCTGGCTCTGGGCGAGTAACCAGGTTTAGTAGAGATTCGACAGAAGTGTGTGCCGTGTCCTGAAGCGTGCCGAGATCAGCAGCTGGTTCGGTCCGCGACGATGGATCAATCGGATTGCGGTTGAACGGCTCTGTGAAAAAGTCGAACTGTCCCAGTTGCGCCGTCAGGTCTTCGATGTCAGGTTCCCTCGCCCATACATCCAGGTCGTCCAGTTCCCAAATCACTTTTGACTCTCCAACTCCTTCGGTGGGCGTCCAAGTCCCATTCAGTCATATCGATGCCAACGACCTCCGCGTTGTACTGACGAGACATGTCGACAGCCCAATGTCCAGGCCCAGTACCAAGATCCAGGGATCCTTCTTGTCGACGGCAGCAAACGTGTGGGTTGTCAGTCTTCCCTTGAAGTGCGCGCACGAAGACTTGGATGTGTATCGCTAGGTAATCTTGCGCCCTGAAATCATTGTTGGGCATGTCTATCCCAGGCATGTAATATGTGTCATTGCCATAAGTACGGCCATTCTCAAAGACGTACTCGAGATCATCTGGAGCCAGCGTCCGTACAGATCGCCTGTGATATGTGTTAGCCGAACTCGGTCACATGGCGTTGGTGCGTCCGCGGCACTCGGTTCGCACGAGGACCCAAAATGTTATCAAGAAGAAGAGAACGACTTACGTAGAGTCGACGGATGCTGAGCTATCTGAGTCAGCCCGCGAGCGTTTGGGTGGAGAAGCCTTCTGAGCTGCTACCGAACTGCCGGGTGGTGGCGCCTCCTCGACCATGGTATCGGGAAGGAGATATAAAGTGCTTGTGTAATGTCTCTACTTGCGCTCTACCAGCGGCGACGTAGAGGGATCGAATCGGGCGGATCTTGTCAATCGGTGGATGACTGCTTTCATATTGCTCAGGCAGAGCGACGTTAGGATTCAATGCGTGCTCCTGAAGTGTAAGCGACAGTCGCTTGTATCTGGTGGCGCCTACTTGTCACAACACTCGTGGATTCGTCGGAGGTAGTGGGCGCTATGGACGCAAGCCAATGGCGATTGGTGCCTCAATAACCGAGAGGAGCTCCCAGAGAGCTGCAAAGCGTCCTTCTCAGCGAGTACGCCGAAAGCAGGTCGGAGGAGCTGCAAGGGGTGATCGCATGTGGCAGCTGAACAATAGGAAAGCACCGAGTCGACCAGGACCCGAAAGAGGTGGGTGAGCAGTAGGAATCCTGGCATGCGATGGTTGCACTAAGCTGGGGTATGCAGCGCGCTCAAGCCGTGCAGCAATGACATGTCGAGCGCAAACTGAGTTCTGAGGCCAGCTTCATAGTGGCTGTCAGTACGGTGCCTGTGTCAACTCTGCTGCACGGGAGACGTGGTATCTCCTTGGGTAGATCAGTGGCATTCCTTCTAGCCATCTCGAAAATGTAACGTAATTTCGGGTGAGGCACTTGATTGTAGACTAGTCATTTGGTTTGGAGGGGTAGCCCGCAGGTGCTGACTTAACCACTAGCCTGGATAGTAAATGATCACACTGCAAGCCAAAGTCAAGGAAATTGGCTCGGCGAACAGTTGTCATGGTCAGTCGGACATCATGTGGGACGTCTCGAAAGCCCCAGCGTCGTGCAGCCAAACTGTCGGATCAAGCGGGTAGAGTCGACGATCCGCATCCCAAACCATTCTGTCGGAATGTGCACGAACGTGTCCCGCCGTCATCTTCGACATTGTCGCATTCGGTCGATGAGTATAGTTTTGGGCGTTCAAATTTTCATGATTGTTCCATCCGAATTGTCATCCGTGGTCTGATGCAACTTTGGCTGTATAAAGCAGCCTGGCCGTCTGTAGACATACCGTGCATCAAGCAGGGTAAGGACGCTGTAAGCCATGAACCGTCTCGCATCAAAGCTCGTAGATCATAACGCTCACCCCATGCTCGATGTAACGCTTAACAGACTTCCTTTTGCAGCCACGCCCGTTGAATGTCTCGAAGACGTCGGTCATCCTCCACGATGACACATAATTGCGATACACATTGCAAATACACGTGTTGGCTGCTACAAATCCTTCCGATAACATTCCTGCAATGTCAACATCGGGGATCCCTACATACCGCCGATTGCATCCCCTGACCGGGTTACCGGGCTGAGAGTAAGGCGTGGGTTGAGTCGTCACCTCGTCTATTACATTGATACGTCCGCGCGCCATTCCGTCCGCTTCCGCGGTGCCGGTCTATGTATGGAAAACTGTCCGTGATGAGATGTCAGCTTACCGGGCGAGCCGATGCATAGAGGCCATCAAATTATACCAGGCATGACGCGCAAAGAATTAGACGTTCAAAACACCAGGGGATATGCCTGTAGTCTGAGGCTAGCAAGCACGAGGATTGACATCGCTGGATGAATGAATCAACTCTTTTTGTTTGTATTTTCCTTCAGTCATGCAGCCATCGATCTTGAATTATAACACATCGTTTTCTAATCAACCTCTTGGCCCTCAAACTTGGGCAGGCGTGCAGCGACGTCTGACCACTTTTCTCTGCCGTTGACGAGGCTGGAGATGGCACCTGTGATCTCGTCCAGACCAGCACGAACCTGCTCTGTCGAGTCGCGGTCGCGCAATGTGAAAGTGTTATCCTTGACAGACTGGAAGTCGATGGTGATACCGAGTGGTGTACCGAGCTCGTCGTTACGCTGGAACTCGTTAGTGGCTATTTGCTGGAAATGTTCATGTGCGACTCACCGAGTAACGCTTGCCAATCGAGGCACCAGAGTCGTCGGTACGAGTGGAGATACCAAGCTCTTGGAGCTTGTCGCTCAGCGTGCGTACAAAAGGCTTGAAGTCGGTGTGTGAGCTGAGTGGTACGATGAGGACCTTGGTAGGTGCAACAGTAGGTGGGAAGGAGAGAATGCCACGCGCTTCGTCTTGCTCACGCGTCCAGTAGATGTGCTCGCATAGTGCCTGTCCTAGTTAGATCGAGCTGAACTTGTTAGAAGGCCAATACTTACGTAGACGATTCTGCCAATACCGAAGGAGGGCTCAATGACGTTCGGTGTGTATTCCCGCACGTTCTCGACTCTTGTACGCTTCTCAATGCTGATGAGCTCCTTTGGCACCTCGACCTTACCATCACCAACACCGGGAACATCAATGACAATCTTGCCCTCCTTCTCGAGGTCCAACGACAGCTTCTCACGCAGATCCTGTGAAAGAGCCTCAATCGCTGCCTCCACCGTCTTGCCGTCCTTCTTGAACTTGGGACCGAACTTCTTCTTGTCGAGATCGCATTGCCATTCCTCAACTTTGAGGGGCTCTTTCCTTGGCTCGCGGACGACTAGAGGTGCGCCGGTCTTCTTCATGTGCACAGTCAAGTCGTACGCGCTACGATCGGCACAGCCTACACACTCGATCCAACCATATGATGTGAGCAGTTCAGCATCCCAGCAGTCTGCGGCGTAATGCGCCATCTCGTTCGCCATGTGTTGTCGGAAGCGGATCTTCTTCGCGTCGATACCGATCTTGAGGAGGAATTGCTGGATACGGGCGAGGAAGTAACCTAGTGTCTCGTTGTCAACAAGGCCAGTCTCGACGGCCTTGCCAATCTTAGTTGTCTCAACCGTGGTCTTGCCGGAGAGCTGGACCTCGCGGTTGAGGAGCTCGAGCTCAACGTCTTTGACCTCGTCAAAGCGGGGGTGCTTCTTGCCGCCCTCGGGGTCGACAAAGTGCTCAATCTCAGCCATCAAGAACTCTCGTACACGCAGCAGACCAGATCGTGGGGAGATTTCATTTCGGAAAGACTTGCCAATGGAGGCGGAGGCGAATGGCATTTGCTGTTGGTTGAACTCGAGCAGCTTCTGGAAGTTCAGGAACTGGCCCTGGGCGGTCTCAGGACGCAGGTAGCCGGGCATGTTCGAGGATGGGCCGATCGAGGTTTGGAACATGAGGTTGAAGGCGACAGGGGGGAGCAGTTCGCCGTTGGTGGCCGGGTTCTTGATGTCGTACTTCTTCATGAGCTGGCCAAGCTCCTCGCCGCTGTAGTTGTCGATCTTGGCGAGAACCTCCTCGATCTCCTGCACGAGCGCATCATCCAGCTTGACAGCCGCAATGTTCTTGACCTTCTTCTTTTTCTTCTTGGGGTCATCCTCCTCGGCCTCGACCTTCTCACCGCGTGCCTCCTTGTTGCCCTTCAGCCTAGCCTCGAGGACTTCCTCAACCAAATGATCCGCGCGGAAGATCTCGCCGGTCTTGGGGTCTTTACACATCCAGTCGGCGAACTTGTCGACGTGGCCGGAGGTCTTGAGGACTTCGTGGGGGGTGAGCATGGTGCAGTCAACTGGAGCGTGTCAGTCCCTGCGCCCTCACATGGTCTCGCGCGCCATACCCTCCAACATATTCTCCTTCAGCACAAAGTGTTTCCGCCATACGTCGACGATGTTGTTTGTGAGGGCGCAACCGGGCGGGCCAAAGTCGTAGAGACCAGAGACACCGCCATAGATGTCGAAGGCGGGGGTGTAGAAGAGGCGTCGCTATGTTGGTCAGTATGACTGCAGCGGGGTGGCATAAATTATTTGAGGTATACCTTCATGAGCGACTCCAGAGAGGGGCGATCAAATGGCTTGCCCTTGAACGTGGTCATATCGCCCGCCATGACAGCCTGATCTTTCTTCCTATTGGGAACTTGATATCTTTGGTGGGCTGGTGTGGTCGCAAAGCACTTGGTGGGATAAACACGGCAGGGCGGGGTACTAAAAACGGGCCTGCAGGTACGCAGTGAAGAAGAGAAGCAATTGGCGTGCAACAACCGCGACAGCTGGCGCATACACGTGACTATTCTCCTGCAAGTGACAGGAGAATATTGTTCAAAGAGCGACTAGACGCAATATATACAGATGAAGCTGTGTCAAACTGTAATGACTCTTGAAGCTCTGACTGCCACACGCGCCAAGAGTTGCCGGAGGAAGGAAACGCCGGGCTCCACCAAAAAGTTTCGAGATCGAGACTTTGAGTACCTCGAACCATCAACCGTCGCAACACCACATCCCCGCATTCTTGCTGCGTGTAGATTGGCGGAACACTGTCGCATAGCTTAAGGTCTCACGCATACAAGAGAGTGAATTGCAAAAATGGCTGCACCGAAAACTGCACCCACAGGCTTCAAGCCAAAAAACAAGCTGCGCCGGCAAGCCGCATACCTCAACATCAAGAAGACAAGAGAGGCAGAGAAGCGTGACCTGAGACATCGCCGCAAGCGCGAAGAAGACAAGAATCCGGAACTCCGAGAAGAGCGACACGCGACCAATGTTCCCGTCACAATCGACAGCAAGCGAGTCTGGGACGATGATCCAGTGGGCGACGAGGAAGATGCGCTGGGCTGGGCCGTGGATGTTGAGCGACTCGCGAAGAGGAGGAAGCTGCAGCAAGAGCAGGCGGAAGCAGACGCCGCGGAGGGAGAGGAAGGCGTCCTGGCAAAGCTGAAAAAGCTTGAACGCGAAGGCGCAAGTGAAGACGAGGAACAAGACGACGATGCAGACAGTATGCTTGATGAGTCCGAACTCGAAGAATCAGGCTCGGACTCAGACGAACCATCCTCGCGAAAACGCGCTGCCAGTCCTGCCGCCTCCGTAGCCACCACAACCGCCACAAATCTCGAGCTTTCGCCCGAATTCCTGAAGCAAAAGTTTCCACAGCTGTTCGACCCACAGCCAGAACCCAAAATCCTCGTTACAACTTCTATAAACTCTACGCTCCACGCGGAAGCCGACATCCTCACCTCTCTCTTCCCCAACAGCACATACATTCGACGTAGCGCAAACTTCCATGCCCACAAATACTCGGTGCGAGAGATTGCCAAATTTGCCGCGAACCGCGAGTACACGGCGCTCGTTGTTCTCATGCAAGCCGAGCACGAGAAGAAGCCCGACGGCCTCGACATCATCCACCTCCCGAACGGGCCCCACTTCCACTTCTCCGTCACAAACTGGATCGAAGGCAAGAAACTCCCGCGTCACGCGAACGACACTGGTCACTACCCCGAGCTCATCCTCAACAACTTCAAAACGCCACTGGGTATTCTGACAGCACACCTGTTCAAGGGCTTGTTCCCAGCTGCGCCAGAACTCGAGGGCAGACAGGTCCTCACACTGCACAATCAGCGCGATTACATATTCGTCCGCAGACATCGTTATGTTTTTAGGGACAAGCGGGAGACTGAGAAGCCCATCACCGGCAACGACGGAAAGCCTATCAAGGGTGTAGAGGACGTCAAGGTCGGCATGCAAGAGATTGGACCGCGCATGACGCTGAAGTTGAGGCGCATTGATCGCGAGGTGCAATTCAAGAGTGGGCAGGAGTGGGAGTGGAAGGGCCGGATGGAGAAGAAGAGGACGAGATTCAACATGTAGTGTGGTCACGAAATTGCTGTAGTGTGCACTGGTTGTTGGGATTTGCTTTCGAATCAACAGTTGCCAGCCCCCATCTCAACGATCCTACCAATGTGTCTTTCATATCTGCCTCAACTCTGGCCGTCCCATCTACTCATCGATGCAGGCTCAGTAATATGTCAGTCCATGCACCAAATCTCTTCCCGGTCCCTCTTCGATCCCATCCCCACACTCCCGCATTACTCCACACTCATCCCATATTCCCAATTCATGCATCCCCATGTCTCGCCTGCCACCCACGCATATACCCGCGACGCTCGCCTGCGTCCGGATAATTTACACCCGGCTCGTTTACCCGATCGCGTCTGACAAGGCGAATGGAAAAGACTAGATTTACCCGGGCGATCTTGCGGAGTTCGCTTGCGGGAGACAGGTGTGAGGAATTATAGCATGGATTGGAATCCGTAGGTTGGGAGGAGAGCTTGATGCATCCAGATTGTGCTGCTTCTACCGCCTAGTACCGCACATTCGGTCAGTGGCGCCACACGCACAGCTGCAAGTATCGTATCATGCTTTCAGAACCTTGCTCTTACCTGAAGGGCAACCTAGCCCCCAGCGCGACGCGAGAAGTACACGTCCACACACGCGCTTGTAAGCTGCCACAACTTTTCAATTCACCGTGCCTCCGACGCCGCAATGCATCCGATCCCAGTTCCTGCACCATCGCCCCTCCGCCATCCCAACACCCTCATCTCACGACATCCTCCAATCTTTCAGAAACAAAGTAACCAGTCGCAGAAAACGTTTCGTTTCAATCACCTACCACACCACCCACCACTCATATCCTCGTTTCGTTTCGTTTCAACCCGCACCCGCGTGTTTCAGGATCCAGAAACGGGACGCGGGGCCGTGCGTGCCACACAGCCCTACCGAATCGTGGAGATGACCTCACCCCTGAACTCAAACGTTGCAACTGTGATTTTAGTATCACTATGTAGGTAGTAGATCTACGTGCCGCTGGCGTGAAACTTTGTTTCGCGGTGCAAGGCGTTCGGCTCACAGGGTCCGAGATTAGCTCGCGCGCTGGCTCGATCGGGCTGAAGTTAGATCTAGTGGGATTGGGTTTGATGTTTGCGCGCGCGGGATGGGGGAGTGGGCTGAGGTTGCAAGACTGGGTTTGTGTGACAGGCGGTATGAGCTCAGGGATGCGAGGAGTTTAAACAAACAAAGGTTGCCGAGGTTGGATGGATTTGCATGAGCAAGTGTGAGGAGATGAGATGGGTGTAGACATTTGGAATTGTTTAGTCTGTAGCTAGCTAAGCTTGTTGTTGTTGCGACAAAGTGCTTGGTTGTATGTATGTATGGAATAGCGATAAACATTAACGAATCAAAGCGTTAATGATTATACCGAGAGTGTGGATGACGTGTACTAACTCATTCCCCCAAAAATTCCCTCGATACTACGCGTGAATCTGACTTTGTTGACATAGGAAATGGTGGACCGCCCGTCTATAGGAGATTTCTATTAATGTTGACAGCCATCGATGCGCGTAATTGGCGCCAGTGTGAGAAACGAGGACGAGGAAAAGAGACAATAATGACAAAGGAATTTTACTCCTCGCTAAAGAATTTTGTCCAGAGGACTGGGTACTGTTTGGAAAAGAGGAAATGCAGACAGGGAAAAGTCGTGAGTCGCGTCAATATATACATTGAAGGTAGTGCAATGGCGAGATCGTTTGTGAGGAGCGTCGAAGAATGGTCCGGCATGCTTCGCGTGGGTGTACGTGTAGAGAAGAGTTTGTGTTTAATGGAGGCTTGGAGAGCTTTGAGGTGGTGTGGGAAAGAGGTTGAGCAATGGCGACCTGCCAGATGCAGTTGCAGCTCGGCGGCGCGGCTTCGTTGGGAGATCGGAAGCCGCCGCGAGGAGGTTGGCAGCGCCGTCAGATCGTGCAGGCTTATGGCGAGCTTGACTGTGACGCGATCCCCGCGAAGAGTGTCGAGCCAGTTCAAGAGAAGCCTTGAGTTTTTCCCCAATATCGATTGTGTCGTTGGAGGGTTCCTCGGATTCATCGGCAGCAGGGAAGAAGGTCCTGTTCCCCAGAGTACGTCCTGGTGGCGTGATGTCATTGTCCTCCTTTTCCTCATCGAGGTGGGACAGCGATGCGACCGAGTCGGATAGCTGGTCGACAACAAGGCTGAAGCTAAGATCACGTCGAGTTGTTCGTCGGGAGGGCACCAGGTCAGGAACACTTCCGGCGGAACTGGCAGAACGGCGCACTGGAGAACTCCACAGAGCAGACCCTTGAATCGAAGACATGAGGCTGCTGTCGTATGAGCTTCGCCTGCTACGGGCAGAACTAGTAGCGCTGTGACGAGGATCAAGCATTGGGAAATGACGATCCGAGTCATCGTATGCATTGAGCATTTCTTCGTACATGTGCTCCTGGTCATCCTTGTACTCTTGGGGAACCAAGAGAGAAGGGCTCACCATGAAGCCTTCCAATTGGCCTTCAGAGCGTCCCTGGAATGGGTCACACGGCGTCGTCAGGCCAGTCCCTGGGGTCGACACAGAGGTTGCAGATGTCGGGACAAGGTCCGGTACGTTCGGCACGAGTAAAGATACCCGAAAGTCGCGTGTGGTAGGTTCAAATGCAGGTTCTAACCCACGCGATAGCGGTTCGACGCTCGATGACGCTCGGCGTCCTTGCCGATATGTCTGATCAAACGAAGAATGCAGTCTCTCTTCAACGTCTACATCGGACACACGGTCCCATTCCAGATCACAGTCAGCCTCCAAGGCGTTGTCGTATATGTAGTCGATGTCCTCTTCCCACGACTCTTCAAACATGCGCCACGTGTTCGATTGGCGCCTTTTCGTAGACGGTTTCCTGGCTAGACTGTGTCGACCAAAACTAGCAGATCCTAGTGTCTCTGAAGCCTGGGAACCAGGCCGCGAGGTTGAATTGCCCTGATTGGTGGACCTAGGAGATGTATGCGAAAGTGCGCGGTTGCGCCCTCTTCCTTTCGGAGACCGCGGGTTACTGAAGATCATGGAATCGAAGTACGGGGATCGAGGGGTTGATGGGCTCCGCGCTGGAGGTCGAGGAGCAGGGCGGGGTCGACTAAAGTATTCTGGTTCCTCAGAGACGTCGTCTAGGCATGGGCTGAAGGACAATGGCATAGCAGGAATCGCGGTATCATCTGGAGTAGTGAAGGCATGGCCCAAGTATACGTTTTCGTCTTTCGTACCAGGAAGGCTGGGTTCAGCTGAGACACTGGCAAGAGAGAATGAATCCCAAACACCAGATTCCCGTTTCGACCGTCGGGCAGATGGATGGTTCCCAACGTGTTGGTTGGCATCCTCGGGCAGATCGTGAATCGGCGCTAAAGGTGCAAGTGAAGACATGCGAGGCGGAGCGAGAACAGACTGTGAGTGGCGGTGGTTGCGCATGTTCACGCCGGGTTGGCTGAAGCTTTCCACAGACCGCGTCAACCGAAGAGCTGGCTTCCTGTCATGTCCTTGTACTGGAGAGCCCGATTGCTCTATCTGAGGACTTTGAGTGAACGACTGATGATCCGAACCTGCCAGATTTTCGGAGGAGAAATTAGAGAAGTGGAGTTGGCTCTCGTTGGCTCCAGTTGCAGCTGATGTTGGCACGGTACGGAAGCCGGAGGAAAGCTTGTTTCCCGCGGCGTGCTCGTATACAGCATGGTGTTGTCTATCAGCGTGAGTGAGGTGCTGGAAACCAAATGGGCTAGAAATGCGATGCTTCAGGCCTGCGGCTGTACTTTCAATTAGCATATATCGTCTTACGCGCAAATGGTGGCACTCACGTAGCGCTTCCTCGTGATGGTACTTCCTCTTGACTTTCCGCAGAACCGACGTTCGTTTGTCGCTTGCTTCCTTCTCCTGATACTCTGCGAACATCATGTTTGACGAGACAGACTCGCTCAATCTCTTTCCCTTCTTTCCACGAAATAACGCTTTCATAGATCCTGATAGCTCATCGTAGCTCGGCGTTCCAGGTCGCGACGAATCGAAGTGCGAAATGGTAGGAGGGCTCATAGACGGGACGGTGGACGACGTTGATGCTGCAGTGTTGCTCCGGGATCTCATGTTGAACACGGAGGTTCTTTTGCTTGGATGTGCTCTGACCTTGCGTTCGGGTGATTGCATAACTCCATAAGGCAACTCTTCAAAGCCTTGTGACGCCCAACGATCCGTGGTCGAAGCAGAAGACAGAGAGAGAGTGGCCGACATGTCCACGGAGGACTGTCGGGATTGTGACGCCATATCACCTTTATGGGACGTAAACATTGCTTGGAAACTAGGAATAACTTCGGCAGGATGGGCCCAAAATTTAGTTGGAGTTGTAGGGCAATGCCTGGATGGCGCGCGCTTGGACCCTCAATTGGTCGGTAGATGTGATTGGCAATACCAGCATCGAAAGATGGAAAAGGCTCGCAAGTCAAAAGCCTCCAGGGAAGCCCGTTAGGCGCTTGGCTCGTATGCTGGCGATAGTCTGGGCTGAAGAGCTGTCAAATTTGTTAGTAACCCATACGAACGCTTCTGGTGTGTGCATCTTATAACAAGGGCATGGAGGGCAGAGGTTCCATCACAAGGGACCAGTATTATGAGTTACAACAGGAGGAACGGGGGTAGAGTTGTAGCTCAGCCGCAATAACGATGGAGTAAATGAGTTATGCGCACCTGGTGAGATGATTGGCCTGCCTGCAGGAGAGTGATGTCCAAAGCGAGAAGCCTGTCACGCACGCGACACCGTGTAATGCGACAGCGCGACGGCTGAATTCGAAGGATGACTGGTATGGGAGGGAACTGAGGCGAGGATGTGTTCTGCCCGCGAGAAGCACGAGGCGTATGCGTCGGCTAATAATGGTCAACACTGGGATTGGTCGCAAGGCAGTGGATGAGGCGGTCGGTGTAATTTGACGTGTCGACAAGTACCCTGTGGATAGCAGATGGGATTTATTCTGGCCTTTGGCAAGATCCAGGGACAGTGAGGATCATGATGGGGTCCCGCTATGTAAGTACATGGCGGGCGTACACAAACGTCGCAGAGCATGTGGAGGAAAGTGGATAGTGCTCAGCGCGGCCCACCGAGGTTAGTGGCAGAGGGCAGGGACAGGGTCTGCTGCAAGCATGAAGGGCAAGGATACCCTCTACGTATCTTGTCCGAGCTCTTAGTGGTTGGGGGTAGCGGGGACATGAATGCTAAGGACTAAGGAAGCTGGAAGGTACCGTTGCTCAAGCCACTTGCGCATCGAGGTCGGCAGAAAGTAATATAACACTGCAGGGGTCGTGACATTGACCGTTCATTGGCCTGTCCATAAAATAAGCGGTTAAATGGTGCAGTAGTGGGACACTGGGACCGCTAAGAGGCCCGTTTTGCAGAAATGCGAACGTCGACATGCCGGCCGCCTGTTGTTGGTACATGGAGCCCAATGGAGGGTGAAGGGTGTCGGTGGCATGTCGAGGTCAGCATTGGCGACCACGGCTGTTGCACCTGCTCCACTTCTCTCTCTGCCACGACGCATGCGGTGCACACGACGATATCGCATCAGACGAAGAAGGAAGTTTAGATCGGGAGAGGCATGTTCAGTGCCGCGAAGAGTGCCGGGATCACGATTTAAGGCGGACAGGGCGCGAGTGCTTGCAGCCGTGATCCTGGTCAAAGTCTGAAGGTAACGTTTTATGCATGATCCTATTCAGCAGAATGATAATCTGCCGCGCTGGCTCTGGCGAAAGTCAAAAGGGTGGTCGTCCGTTCTCTTTCGGGAGTCAATCCAGACGCGCAGCAACGGTTTGCGGAAATCTCATCGCGTATCTGTCCAGACGACAGACGCGTTCTTCCCCTTTCTGGCATAGACCAATGGCCGCCGACGATCGTCGCTCGCTGTGATGTGGGTCGCGGAAACTGAAACAGCCGAAAAAAACGTCCGTGGCTTGCGACGACGCCCTCAGATTCGTGATGTTCAGCCCAAGGTCAGGACAGTAACCCCGCCTCATTTGCTCAACACCACGGAACGCTGTCCATGGACAGGGTCTTCAGAGAGCCGCTGATGAATCGTGGCCGTGCCTGAGACGAGTCTGGACGCTGACGACATGTCCAAACACCGATGGCCTCGAGACGTGCGTTTCAAGCCCTCAGTTGTTCGAGTCGTTTGGTTGTTGCACGGCAAGTCGATGGAGCTGCCCGCTCGATGACTCAGCGTATGCAGATGGTGCGCTAGAGTATATGCACAAGCACAGCTCATCACAACATAGTCGTACGGCCAGCAAAGCAAAGCCGTGAGGTTAGCTGGCTTGTCTTTAGCGTCGGGAGCGTTACAATCGGGTCTGTTGCACCCACGCGACTTCATTGCCTCGTGGAACTGGAACCTTCTCAGCCGCTATATTACACAGAGGAGCAGTCGACCAAACAGGTAGGACAAGCGCCTGTGGGATCAGATGGGATAGGAAGGATGGGCCTGCTCTGTGCGACCAAAGCCGGGCTCGTCCACGGCGCTGTCGTGGTGATGGCCGAGCGAGTGAGCGACCGGTAATTTCAGTCGCAGAGCCAGCCAACACATTGCCGCGTCGACGCCATGGTGCATCGAGCGCACATGCTAGTCCTGGCCGGCTGGGTTGAAGAAAAGCACGAGCTGTGCGCTCGAAAGGAGTGACGCCCTCCAGCCACACCCCCTCGACAGGAGCTGGTAGCACGTCACGTGGGGTGCTATGTATAGTTGTCCACGGTGCAGTCCATGGCACTGCAGCGCGCCTGTACGCAGCAAGGAGAGAGCGTCGACGTCAATGTAATCGCTTGGCTGCAGCATCGTGTCGGAAGGCGCAAATCACAACAGGAGGCCGATGACGCTACGATAACATTGCACAACACCCATCCATGATCGTTCTCTTCAGCCACGAACTACCACTACGGCTACGCTGCTGAGCCGTCTGCAGGAACACGTCGCTGCTCCACCAACCACCAGAGCGCCGCTTCCGGTGAGGCCCTCTAGGTTCCTGCAGTGGTTGCTGCTGACCGCGTCGGCCGAAATCTTGCCGACCTCCACCACAAACTTCACGCGGCAGGGTGTTCCATCCCACAACAACAAACACCTGGGCAATCACGCGTCGAGACTGCTCGTGTTCAACCTGCCGCTCGTCTACTCCCTGCGATAGTGTACATAATGTCGCATTGCACTGTGCTCCGCTGTCGTTCCATTGACCCTCGTCGCAACTTTATTGATACCGCGAGCAACCCCCGCCATGGCTACGGATCCGATCCTTGTACATGACTTAGTGCAAACCATGAACTTGGTTGCGTTTGCAAGGAGCACCAAGGACTACCAGCTTTGTTGCTCATCATGTTTGCTATTCCGCCTAGAACGAAGCCAACGCGTGCCAGGAAGCAGTCCGTCGGGCCAAGACGATAATGCGCGCAGCATCTGGTCACGGTTTCTAGAGTCTCCCTGTGATATTTTACGCAGGCAGGACTGGTGCCACGACTTAGCGCGTGTACCTGCATTGAGCTGAAAAGACTCGGGCATTTCTTTAGCCCAGGTACCACTGCAGATGCAGATCAAGCCGATCTCCAGCACAGCAAAGGCCAAGCACGCCATGTCCTCGAATGATGTTCGACCCTCAAGCACTCAGTTGTTGAGACCTTCGGATGGGATTCCCCTGTCTGTCAGGATCGATTGCGAGTTGACGGTTCGCGTGCCAGTTCCGCGTGGTCTGTTCTTACTCGTACCACCTTAACACCACGCTGTGAATGTGGAACACGAGTTCTGCCACCGTTCCCATTGTCAAGTCCTTTGCGCTCTACGTGCTCGTCTAAACTATACGATCTCCTGCTGGGAGGCCCCCGACGTGTTCCATGTTTATCCAGCTTCTGGACCGGTCATCTTGTTCTCGGCTCCGGTCTTTGAGCAAGACTCCGTCTACATCCTTGTATCTGACGCGTGGTAGTGAGTGGATCGCAAATGTGAAAATCTCTCTCCAAGGACGCGCACCCACATAGACATACCCGATACCGCGGCACTCAGATCACCCTGGAGCCACACGTTGATTGAACGAGGTTTCAGAGGGACGTTTCTTCAAGATGTTCCGCTCGCAACCGCCTCGGCAGCTGACAGCCGCACCCTCCGCCGAAAGTCAATGGTCGAAAATCGGCGCTAAGGTCACAGAAGCTGTCAACCAACCTTAAAATCTCAAGAACGGTACGCTTGCAAACTATCGACATAGCGGATTGTGGGGATAGTGACAGATCTCAGTGAACGGACCATTGGCGCAAGAGCAAGTCGTCCATTCACAGCTCACACAGGTTTCAGCTTTCTCCTCCGCTTCCGCAAGATCTAGGTTAGATCCCAACTGAGCGTAGAAGTGGATAGGTCTCCAATGCTCAACAAACAGCTAGGCCTCGCCAGCACATCTAGATGCATTCGCAAAGGCCATAGCCGGTGTTCCACAAGCTATCAGAATTTGCACAACGATACGAAATCTACATCATTCGAAAGATTTTACGCAGCTTGTGGAGCGTGTCTGACATCACAAACTGTATCCAGAGGTGCTGGTGTGACCTTCACTTAGATGCACCTTGATACAAGATTGTGTGTCGATTACAACATTCCTTGTACCGACTCAATGGTCAGTCCAGTGTCGGCAAGATCGCTCCCGTGTAAGAACGCGGAGATATTCCCAACTTGTTTCAGCTTTTCGATCATCTCACCAACGGCTCCGGGAAATACTCCATCTAGACTACCCAAACAGTCTGTCCCAGATTAACTTTCAAGTAACTCAACATTCTCTCCACCACAGATTAACCTTCCCGAGTAGAGGTGAAATTCAAGGGCGGAATGAAACATTGTCGGGAAGTTACTCACTTCCTTGTGCAGCATTTTGTTACTATCGTACTAGGGGATGTGCCCCTTGGAAGAGGTAGGGGTTTCTAACCCAATTCAACGACTACGGCACGCATCTCAGCTGGCGCTTGCTTTGAACTTGACGTATTCGCGCTCGGCCTGCAATATCACAGAAGAGAGCGGCACCACTTCGGTCCCACATAGACTGAGCCACAAAAGCAAGGACAATCCACCAGCCACGCTATGTTTTGGCCCCATCGTTCGAGAGACGTGTCGCCGACCATCACCTGCATCTTGAAATGAGCAGGCTGCATGTACCGCAGCCACAACACCAGTTGCGGGAGGCTACACGGGCCGCCCAGTCGAGGATTCGCATCCACCTCTTGACGATCGAACGCCACCAACATCACTGCGAGCCATTTCTTCCTTGGTGTGGCTGCAAGACGGCATGAGGTTGTCTGCTTTTTGTGTGTCAGCCTTTTGATGTTATTTGGAAGCATACCCGGTAAAAAGAAGCGGACCCTAGACAGTCAGATTTCGCGTCGTCTTTTGTTTCGCACCCTGGCCAGATCTCATTTCCATCTTGCCTCCCTTCGATCGCAGCATTGAAAAATGCCGATTTCCAAGAATAGGCCAGCATAGGGGTTCATGGATGGTAATAAGATCAACAGTAATCCCTAACAAAAGAGTCGGACGCATACGTATACCGTACAGCTGCCAATTGCCCGTGTGCTATGTTGGAAGCTGTGTAGTAGCGGGCCGTCTCTGGCTTCATTCCCAGCCCCAGGGTACGCGAGGTGTATGTCACCGGTAGACGCGCCACGACCCGCAGCTCCGTGGGCCGCATATGAGGCCGGGAACCGCGAGTAGTGGAGCCAGCTGTGGACATGCCGCGACGAGGCAGAAAAGCACGCAGCTGCTCGCCTTACGTACTCTGGGCAATACCATTGTCCCGGTCGAGTCGACAAGACTTTACCCATCACGTCGCACGCAAACCTTGGTATCAAATCACTGACGTATGTAGTTGCTAATTCTCAGCTCGAGTCAATCCCAACGGTTCCCGAGTACGAGCATATCGACGATAACGTCGCGCCACCATCGGGCCCGCCCGTCAGCATTTCAGCCGCACCTTCGGACTCCGAACCCGCGTGTCTATAATCCTATCTTTCTCCTGACGACCGCGCACGCAGATGCGCGCCCACGCCGGCAAGCCAAGCAATCGCCTTGTGTTCCACCGTCGCGGTGCCAGCCTCATGCTAAGCAGCGACTTGGCCGGGCTGCACATCCGAGCTGGCACCATGGCTCCGGCGTTATGCGTGGATGCGCCGTGTCACCACCACGACGGCGAGGATTTCGGGCCGACGTGTGGGTGATCTTGTGCGGTGAGGCGAGCACGCATGGGATAGCGAGGTGAGGGTGTAAGCAAAGAATCTGGAGCTGTTTGGATGGGATCTGATGGGAGGGGGGGTATCGGGTGCGCCGGACGGCTGGTTGGCTGCTGGGGTGCTATTGTGGTGGATGCAATGTCCATCATGTGGGGATTAGTAAGTCGAATGTTCCGAGGCCATGGACAATGTGCGGTGGTATCTAACTACCTCGGATGGGTAATTCCGGGTTGCTTTTGCAACACATGTGAGTGATGGTTGGAGACTGTTAGTTGTTCGTCGTATAGACCGCGCAACCTTCCCTCTGGTTTGACGGCGGTTTTGATCGCCAGCGATATGGCGATGATCCTTTCCATTTTTCTGGCCAACATTCATGCAAACGCTGTGATGTAAGTGCTGTCACCTGGTTGTCTTTCTGCACATGCTGTGAGAGGGCAGATGCCATCATGTCGCCGTCTCGGCGCTCGCTTTCGGGAGGTTGGCTGCATCATGTCGACATTTCGGCACATAGGCACTGCAAAGCGAAGTTCTCCGTCAAGCTTGTCAGGCTCTGATACATTTGTAATCTAGATGGTCGTTGTCATCTAGATGGTCGAATGGTAGCACCGACGTTGACCCCATGATTGTTACTCATTCAAACTTCTGGTGATTTCCCTTTCCACGTCATCAATTGGTAGACTTCATCAAGCCTGTCAGCGTATCGCCATGCGAGAGTGCCAGTACGTCGATTTTCATCGACTGGCGAGGCTTTGAGATGTCTGTCGTGTGATGTCAATATCCGTTAAGAACCTCAAATACCCATGAGCATGCATATCTTCCTTCATCCCACCCACTACAACCAAGCATTCTACAGGCAAGTGTTTGAAGAATCTCGCAATGTTCGTACTGTGTGGTATTCCTTATATACAGTTCCCACAGCGTTGGAAAGGGAATCAACCGATACGCCTTAATTCACATGCCCAGCTCTTCCTTTACTTTCCCAATGCAACTCTATGTAGTCTCATCGTGATGACCACCGTCGCCGTGATGACCGCCCTCGCTCCCCAAAAGTCCTGCCTGCTCAGCTGCGAGGTAGACGCCGAATGCGACAGTCGCGATGCCGAGGCCGGGGAATGAGCCCTTGAAGCGTTGGAAGCGGGTGAAGGGGCCAGTGTATCGCCATTGCTCGCTGTGAAGGTATAAGCTTGGCGCAGACAGATGTGTGCATCTGCTGTAGAGAGACGTACTATCGTGCCCATGGGTCGCCCTTGGTGCCGTTGGCGGATGCTGCGGCGAGCTTCTTGGGGTCGAAGCCGGTGATGGAGGGGCGTGCCATTGTGACGGACTGCGCAGGTCAGCTGGTGTCACAGCGGAATTCAAACATGTCAATCGAGAATTGAATGGTGTGGTACTCACTGTTAGAGCCTCTCGAGCAGCTGGGGGAAGAGGCGCGTGTTTGGGAGCTATCGACGTGATGAAGCTCCATGTTCGTCAATCGCATCAGCGATATCTTGGCGGAAGCTCGGGCCACCTCCACCATTGACGGACTGCACGTCGCGCGTACCATGGTTTGCGTCCGCAAACACTCTCCGGGGCAGCAATACCATTCGCTACCACTATTACCATCGCCCATTAATTCACTGAAGCTGCACACACCCGGCTGGGTCTTTGCGCCAAGTTTCTAACACCTCAATACGCTCGCTCGCTATTGGAAACACCCCACGAACACCACCTGCACACACGACCTCTCCCGGTGCTGAAGGACACATAGCCCACCATGGCGCCACATCAGCGCTACCCCCCTCACAACCTCTCCAACCCTTTCGCACATCTTGCTGGCGGCGGACCCATGAACCCCCAACCACAGCTGCAACAACAGCAGCAGCAGCAACACCAACAGCAGAGCATCCAGCACCAGGCCTTTGGCGGCAACCAAGCGCATAACCTCAACCTTTTTGGTCACAACCAGGGCGGCTTTCAATCAAATACGGGCGACATCAGCGGTGCGTTAAGAGGAGGCCTGGGAGCGGCAGCGAACATCGGCGGGGGCACTGGTCTGGACGGACAAGAGGCGCGCATGCGCTTTGCTCATGGGGCACAGTTGCAGGAGAACGCTGTGAGAGGGCAAGATGGGGCCAAGGGAATCGCAGGACAGAGAATACGTGACGTCTGGAGGTCGAATCTGCATCAAGAGATGGCTCTGCTACGGTCACTAATTGATCAGTACCCGTACATTAGCATGGTTAGTATGCCGCTCTTGACGACTCGTTTACGATCTCACGCCGCTTAGGACACGGAATTTCCTGGAGTTGTCGCCAGACCCATTGGCGACTTCAACTCGAAAGCGTCATATCATTACCAAACCGTACGTTGCAATGTCGACCTGCTCAAGATCATACAACTCGGCATCACGCTGTTCTCAGTAAAAGGCGACGTTCCCCCATCGCAACTCGACATCTCGCAGCTGAGCTACCAACCGAAACAATTACAACGGTACCCCAACAACATCGTCGTCTGCCCCTGCACTTGGACGTTCAACTTCCAGTTCTCGCTCGAGGATGACATGTACAATGAAGAGTCGATACAGATGCTCAAGAAATCTGGCGCCGACTTTGACAAACTTGCAAGCCAGGGCATCGAGCCTCAAGAGTTTGGTTCACTTCTGATCACCTCCGGTCTGACCCTTTCGGACGAAGTCAATTGGATTAGTTTCCACTCTGGCTACGACTTTGCCTATCTTATCAAGATGCTGAGCGCAAAGCCGCTGCCAGAAGACGAAGATTCGTATCGAAAACTGGTCGAGGTCTTCTTCCCCCGCCTCCTCGATGTCAAGTACCTCTGGCGCCACGCCAATAACCTTGTGCGCCGCGGCGTGATAGGCTCAACAGCGACAAACATCCTCAACAACCTGGGCACAAAGTCTGGCCTGCAAGACCTCGCAGATGAGCTGGGCTGCCAGCGTGTCGGAAACCCCCACACCGCTGGCTCCGACGCATGGCTCACCGGCACCGTCTTCTGGGAAATGCAAAAGAAGATTTTCGACGGCTCTGTGCCCGAAGAAATGAACGGTCAGATGTGGGGGCTCACGGGCGTTGGTCCTCCAGCCAACGCTACCACGCAGGCTGCTGTCCTCGCTGCATCCGGCGCGCAGAACATGGGTGGATTCCAGGGCTTGAATGGAGGCATGATGTTCCACCCAGGTAATGTGCGGCACGGCGTCGATGGACCGAGCACGCCGACTAGTCATCCTGCTGGCCTGGCTACGACGCCAGGCCCGTCGCACGGTGGCATGATGACGCCTGGTAATACTGGCTATGGCGGCTATGGCAAGTAGAATTTTCAACCGCCGTACGTCTAGATGGGGGATATGTGTATTTGTAAGAGGGAGGCGTTGTATTGGGATACCCGGAGTATGGTCAGATGCGTGTGGGGTTCTGGGTTGCGTGTGCTTGCTGGCATATTTCGTATGGATGGGTTGAGCATACTGCATGATTTAGCTGGTCTTCCAACAGGGAGGAAGATGAGTAAAAATGAGAGCATATTGATCAAAGTTGCTAGTTTCAAACATGATGCGCTTGAGTGGATGAGGTGAGCAAGGATGCTGAGTATACATTCGCTTTGTACTGTGCTGTGTGTGACATTGTGAGCTTCTTTGCACATGACGGAAGGTTCTCAGCCTTGTCGTGCCCTCTCGCTGGCGCTAAGCATTTAAGTGCAGTCTGCGGGCCTGATTCGACAAGATAGCTTGCAATGCGCCATCGGCATCTCTATGAGGCTTGGTCTCCATCAGCTGCCCCAGGCTAAGAATTGCAGTGCAAATCTCTCATAGGGTTAGCGTGTGTGCAGTAGGCAGGGGGCATGGTGCATACAAAGTATTTCTTTTTTTTCTTTTACCCAAGATGTCTTAGCTTATTCATGACATTGCGCTATGTGCAGGATAATAAATGGATGTTTATCCACAAACCGTCATTTTCATAAAGAGCTCTTGATGATATTCTACTTCCAAGTTAAGTTATTCAGCCTTGCGTCAGCTTCAGCCTGGCGATGTACATTGGAGTGCACGGTTGCACTCAGCTCAAATATTTCAGGCAGACGTCCATCTTTTTAGGTATAGTGTCATTCAACCCCTCCTCCAGGCTAAAGATTGCAGTGTAAAGCTATTATTGTTGCTGCTGGCGCCTTATACCAGCGGGGGCATGGGTGTAGGATTAGTACATGCTTACATAAGAGAGTACTTAGTATAAGTAGTCGAACTCTGTGATCCTGCTGGGGTCAGCGATTCGTCTATCCTACAATACACCTGCTACTTCAACTTCCACAACACTATCTATCCTGAGTCTGACCCTTATATCCTGACAACGCCCCCCGCGCTTGTTCAGCTACACTTTCTTATGCATTCTTCGACTAGTTCGTTTATGTCCAGCCTTTTGGGCGTGTGGCTAAAAGAACAGTAAATTTGCGTACATGTATTTGCAGGCTTTGCATTCTTATGTTGGTGGTCTGGTCTGCTGTCACTTGCATATTCAACGCGTGATATATGAACGAGCTCAACACTGTCTAGGTTCGGTGATTTGAGTGTTTGTCACGCTTGATATGTGGTGTAAAGCAGGCATGTTGGTTATTCAGCTTCATCCAACACCTGCTCTTCGGTGCTATGAATTGCATTGCGAAATTCTTGTTTGGTACGATAGAGCCAGGTGGCTGTTGCTACACATTCGATCTGTCTGGGTTGTTCCGTCATACTAAGCCTTGTGGGCGCGTGGCTGAAAGACAGCACACTTGTCTAAATTCTATGCGAAGACCTGTTCACTCAGATTCGCACGCTAGCACTTTCACACTTGAAGCTTGAGACAGCAACGATCGATGAAAGATTACTGATATACCAAGAGTTCTCGCAGTGAAGCATGTATGCTAGTCATTCAGCCTCGTCTGTCACCCACTCTCCGACGCTAGTGATTGCAGTGCATCAGTATGAATCTTTCAGCCTTAGGTGTATTTACATCTTTTCTGGATAGTTGGGTACAGTAAGGATGTCTCTACCGCAGTCTCGTTTTCCTAATCGTGATTATACTGCATATTGTCAGTTGAGTATACATTCATCAGACTCACTCATACTGGTCATTTTGACAATGAAGAATATGGTATTCGAATGAGCAGATTATTTTGTTTTATGTCATCTCAACCTGCAGGTTGGCTATGTCACATAGAGCCTTACCCAAAGTTTGAGTACAGCTTATACGCATGCGCAAATATCTTGAAATCGTTGTTATTCGTGCAGCAACTTGTTTTTCGAACAATTCAGATTAATCGCTTCTCCGAAAATTGTGTGTAGTTTTTTGACTCGTAGGCTTCAGCCTGCTTTCCTCAGCCTGATACTTTTTCTTCCGCGCTAATGATTGCAGTGCGGCGCAGCGAGCAACCGTGTGATGAAGCCCTTTAGACCAGGGCCATGAAGACTACTCTTCCACGCAAAGGATTGCAGTGCATGTCAGGTTAAGTCACAGAGAATGGGCTCGGTAAGGCGTTACAGATCAGCTAGTCTCGTCAGAATCCCAGCCTCATGACATCCCATGTAACTTGTCAAGCGTCGTTCTAGATTCACGAGGACGGATTAGCCAGGCTACTCAACTCCTTTCACCTTCTTGTGTCTCGATGTTGTAGCCTTGAATCGAACTACACCTTAGCATAGCCAATCGAGCACGATCAAACCTACTCTTCCACCGGACATCCCCGCGCAGCAAGTCAGCCTTGTTGAGCTTTCCCTTGCAAGCCGAGAATGGCAATGCATGCGCCCAGGCATCCATCTCAGTCCAGCCCATCAGCTCCTCCACGCTAGCAATTGCAGTGTAGCTGGGCCGTGCCCGCCTCCTCGTCCTTAAAACGTGCGCTGGGCTTAACATGGGGAAAGACACAGCCTGGTCGAAATAGTGTACATGATTGGGCAGCCTTGAAGCCCGGGTGACGCAAGGCATATGCAGTCCAGCCACTCTTCCAGGCTAGAGATTGCAGTGAAATAGTGGTTATTTCTGATCTTGTGTGTTCAAGGATACGGTTGAGTGAGAAAGACAGTGTTCTTTCGGTATGAAGCCTCCCTCATCTAAGACGGAGCACCACCTCCCCCATCAGTCTTCGCCTCTCCCGTCGTCACAGTCTCGGCATCCACTTTCTTCTCATCATCCCCACCCCCATCTCTTCTCCTCCACGCCAAAAACTCCTCACTCACAATCCCGCCCGTCCCCTCCTTCACTCTCTTAACCTCCACGACCCCACTCTTCTTCCTCAACACAATACTGTAAACCCCCTCCTCCACCACCGTCTCCTTCAACCACCCCAAAAACTCTGTAGCGAAATTGATACACACATTGCCATCCCAGCAATTCGTGCCTCTGCGGACCATACCCGGGAGTTCGGTGGTGTTGAACGTCTGCACGCCCCTCAATATGCCCGCCTTACTTCTGAATCCGACGACGATCTTGGGCACGCCGAGCAGGAACGACTGCGCCCAGAACTTGAGCAATTTGCGCTCGAATTTGAGGATGTCGCGGTGCTGTTGGCGTGCTGGGGGTGGGAGTTCTTCGGAGGTTTTGAGCTCGACCCATTGGATTGGGGCGTCAGGGTCGGAGGGCTTGGGGGCGAGGAGGCCGTCTACTTCGCCGCCGAGGATGAGGCTGTGGGGGCCGAAGGAGGTGTTGACGATGGAGCAGTGTTGGGCGTGGTTTGATACGATGCTTCGTTGGTGCTTTTCGATTTCGGCGGGAGAGGTGGTTGATGGTGGTGTGGGTATTAGGGCGAGGGTCTCGAACTTGTAGCCCCAGTATGTCATCATCTCCCGTGACTGTTGGTCGGGGTGTTGGTATCGTGGTGGTGGCTGGGAGCCTTCTGCGGCGCGTTCAGCGGCTCGAGATGGGAAGTCTTCTTCGATGTACATTGTGCCGTCGTGCAGTGTTGCGAACATGCCGAATTCAGCGAAGTTGTCGAAGGGCGCGGTCATAATCTGGGTTCAATTAGCATTATGCTCATGTACTGTTGCAAGGCAAGCAGATAGACCCACTCACCTTGATAGTCTAGAAAGCTGTGCTTCAACATACCTTGGTCATCATGCCTCTCCAAGTGACAAAGTCGGCCTTTGCTCGCGCAGCATGTCCGTCCTTCTTTTCCTTGTCCACCAGCGCCTTTAACAGGGCATCTAGATGCGCATCTTCCTTATCCTCATGGTGCCTGAACGTTTCGAAGCCTTCCTTCAGATCCGCACCCATTGGTGGAGGGACATAGTAGTTGATGCCCGAGTCGTCATAGACATATTTGTGCTCGTCGTCGAATGAGAAGTTGGCGACCTCTTGCGGCCGCTTTATTCTGGCGGACGCACCCTTGAAGCGGTGAAGAGGCTGTATGGGGAAGCGATGTGTTTCGGTTTGCAGTACTGGGGTCGGCATCTGTGAGATTGTCGTCGCCGGTGCAGTGTCCATAGTTCTACTTGGAGCTGCAGGTGTGCTGTGAGGTGGTGCTCGAGTTCGCGGGCGCTTGCGAGGTGGACCGTCTTCTCTTTCCGATGTCGGGCTCGGCGATCTTGAATGTAAATTCTGTTTTGGAGGTAGAGATTGTTCCGCCATAATTGCTGAGATGGTCGTGGGAAGCTTGCTCTTGAGATAATTGCTGCGGGAAAACAATCAGAACAGCTGCGATGAGCTCTTGAGCGATAAATTGCAGAGTATGAGGCTCAGATCACTATTACTTCAGAAGAAACGACGCGTCGCACAGCGCGTACTTTTGTGCTACAACGACGTCGAGCCCAGCGATGTCGTCCTGAAGCTCGCATGCGGTCCAAGCTCTATTCACCCCGCAAGACTCCCGACAGTACGGTGCGCCAAACGAGCCAAACATGCAAATACCCAACATCACCTCATGACCGAATGCGCCAAAACCATATTCACGCACAATCTTCCTCCGAGACCTGTCTTAGCCTCAGCATTTCTCGAACCCTGTAACATGGACCCTTCCATCCGCGCCGCCCGCCCACCGCCATCCCGCCGCGCCCTCTTCCAATCCACCCGCCGCCAACCACCAACATCCGTCGTGCGCCCAGATACCGCAACTATATTCCAGCAACCCATGGACGACGAACTTGTCGAGCGCGATGATAAGGGACAATACATTATCACGGCACCGAGTAGCATGTACAAGCAGATGGCGCACATGAGGGAGGGGGACGAAGAAACCGGTACGTTGGGCGAGTCACAACAAATGGAGCTACAGTCGAGAGAAATGGACTAAATGAAAAGAGAGATATTTCAGTGAGTGTGGCGGCTAACGGATTACTAGAGCAAGAGAACCACATCATCGAGCTGTACGGCAAGCAAAACGCCCACTGGGACCCCAAGGCTGTCGAAGAAGAGATTAAGGGGGCGTTGAAGAGCAGTGCGAGGAAGGCCGTGGCAAGCTTGCAGGAAGATAAGTGGATGTTTGAGGGCGGTGCTGAGAAGAGGCAATGAGCTTGGTACGATTTGTCACTTTCAACTTTTTTTTTGGGCATAGCGAGGAGTTTGGCGCGGGAAGCATTGGCTGGGAATTGGACGTTGGATCGGAGACTTGGGAAGATATGATCGTGCTTGATCGACATGTAGACGTGGGTTTGCTGTTCGAGATATTGACTTTCATTGTTGTCATCACGAATGCTTTCGATTGTAATGTCATGTAATTGCAATCTATGCACTATTCGCCCATTGCACTGTAGATAAATGTCGCTATAATAGTGCTTGAGTCTTTGAATGCTGTATTCCATTCATCATCCCTGTTTCGATTAGCTGATTAGCTCACACAACTGACTCCGTGCTTCTTCGGCAGTGTCCTAGCACCTATTTCTCCACATGTATTGTCATTCCCAATTCTCCGCTCTAGCTCTCCAAACAAGCCCCTAACCTTGTGTCTTGTTATCTATATGTAAAGCCACATGCGAGATTTTACTGGAATCTGGTTTTCCTCCTGCTAATTTTCCACTGCCAATTCTTAACACAAGTAGCGACGTCAAACTTTTGTATCTAGTCTACTTGGAATATCTTTCTACACAAGATGCCACTCATCATACACTATCTCGACAGGTTCATTAGTCTACTATTTTTCTGTGATCAGTTCTCCGCTGCGGCGAAGCGCGCCCGGAAAGTCTACCATCCCTGCATATCTCTTTCAATTACTCGTATGTCAACTGCGAGCTGGAAGACGCAGGCCTCACGCCATATTCCAGCAAAGTCGTGTCCACCAACGCAGCCCCCACGGCGAACATAAAAGCGTTCTCAGCATGCCTACTATCCACACATACTTCTCGCCTACCGCCCCCGCACACTATCACCGCGCTACCTCATACCTAGGTCCTTCTCCGCGTCTTCCTCACGCGTGTCACGCTGCCCAAGCGGCGAGAATTCAACCGACTCAGGCGTTGGGAGTGTACGAAAGTCTCTCCCTGGACACTTCTGCGATGCCGAATACCGTCACAGACTGCTGCTGGAGAGTTGCTGCGCTATATCAGCCCGCATCATACACCGACCTGCCCAAAAGTCATGGAAAACAGAGTGATTGCTGGCTGACGCCGTGCCGCATCCGCCCACGCAGCTTTCCATCACCGACGCTTTGATTATGGAGTCCTGATCGTAGAACTGGTGCTTGTCGCTAAGCTCCATAGATGGCGAGCTCCGCCGTGAAAGTGCGGTTGCCCTTGATCGTGTCATGCCTTCGTGACAAGGGCCTCAGTGCGCTCGATCCTCGCCAAATGCTTGCCGAGAGAGAAATTGTCAAGACTTAGTTGGGGCCGGTGGCGGGGATCCCTGCACGAAGCTCGAGAGGACGACTACGTGGACGAGCAGTACGACATAACCGGCTGCTTGTAGAAACGGAGCTGCGGGACAGTCTACATCTGGAGGTTGACCGGCTACTGCTGGAGTATGATTCCCTTCTAGGAGAGGAGACTTCAAGCGACGAGGACGACATTCCACATGAGGGCAGGCCCACCGTCCACTCCCGTACAACTGTCCAGCACTTGTCGGTGATGGCATGCGAGCCGGAGAAGTACTCGATGTGGGAGGTACAGGCGTCGAAGAAAGCTGCACCCATGGGGAGGTAGATTTTGGTGAGGTTGTCGCGGAGTATGAGGTTGACTTATGCTGGCGCAGGTTCTGATAATGGTATTGATCGTGTACCGCCGGCGGCTGATGAATATGCGAGCTCCCTAGTATCCTTCTTCCTGGCCCCGCCATCTCTGTGTGTGACTACTTGAAAAACCCATCTAACGCACTGCCGCTCCATTGGCTCCAGCTCTGTGCAACCAGGTGGGCAGGTGTTGGGTGACTAACGTGGGGTATCGATACGGTTAGGGTTGGCGGGCGGACGACCTCCAAACTGGCTGCGATCTTATTGTCCTGGGACTTTCATCGTGTCAGCGCTCGCTATAGGTGGAACTTCTGGTAGAGCTTGCTATACTCTATGTCGGGTAAAGGACTGAAAGCTGACGGAACTGCTTGCCTTGTCAAGTTCAGGCCTACACCGGTATGCCCGCTGTCGTGCGAGCGAGCTAGATCGTTGCTCTCTACGCTTTACGTGTTCTCGCAAAGGTATAGTCAAGGAAGCGCTGAGATAGGCTGCATCATACATGTCGTTAGCAACAGGCTACAAGGAGTTAGCAATCGGGACATGTCTCACCCCATGTCTGCCTGTCAGACAGCTTGGACCCGTAAAGCCTGTTTATCCTCAATTTCCAACAGTTCTCCTCTTATATACCTCTACGTCGCTAAAGTCATACAGCCCTCCTCAAGCCAGCACCTCGGTGCCGCACTCAATGAGGACCCACACCCTACCCGAACCGAAGTTCAGGATTTCAGTACCTCAGACTGCGAAGGATTCGAACCTTGATGGGATATTAGAAGAGCGTAGTGTGCCTGCTGTAAGTAGACCAAAGGGCTTTATGTCTACCGCCGAAAGAGAGAGGGGGAGAAAGTGAGAGGGAGGGGAGTGAGCCCTGTCGAAAGGAGGGGAGAGAGTAAGAGGGAGAGGAGTGACATGTCGGAAGAGAGAGAGGGAGTGAGGGAGGGGAGTGAGCCTTCATGTCGTCCTCGTTTGGCGGGGTGGGGGTACGAAGGCGAGGGTGTCGAGAGAGTCGAGCTCAACCCGACGGATTCTCTTCGCGGGTGTTCAGCTCGCAAGGGACTATTCGGACTATTAGTGATTCACTCTCGGATACAACGGTGGTCGTGCTCTTACAGTCGCTGTAAGAAGCGCGGAAATATGCGTTTTCGTACGCCTCCATGATGCCCCAGAGCATAGCATCTATGCGCAACCACCTCTCCAAGCGGAACTTGTGCAACACGGCCCGGTCCAGCTCGCCCTCGCTGCGAAGCTCGTCGATCCGCGCCTTCCAGCGGTCGATCATCGCCTGGCTCTCTTCAACCATCTCCTGCCAGTCCAAGAAGGAAACGAAAATGCTCAAGGTGTGCCAGCTGTCGTTGTCGAGCGGGTATGGGCTTGGCGTGCCATCCTCGCGGGATTCGATCAAGGAGTTGAGGGACATGGTGGAGAAGAGGAATTGGGCGTGTGGGGTATGGTGGTTTGAGAAAGTTGAGGGGTGCAGAAGTTGGTAGCTGAGGGGGTTTGGGTTTGCGGAGCGGGCAGATTTGAGTAAATCGGGGCGCACAGTCCACTACCGCAGCGGCGTTGAGATTCGCACTCTTACCTGAAAATTTGCCTACCTTTGAGATTGATCTTTGCCGTTCTTCTCGCTAATCCCTAGATTGCGTGTATGTCTATGATTCCGTGCTGTACACTCATATCGCGCCAGTGCTTATGAGCTATTCCGAGATGCATGGTTTCAATTCACTGGCACGCTCAACTGCCATGTCTGGTCTTGTTTCCACAATAAGCTGGAGACAGAAAGCAAGGCCTGTATACCTTTAAGTCACCGTAGGAACGCTGTGATATGGCTATGAGTCCATGAAGGTAGACAGCCTGACGTATCTCTTGTGATACATGGCTGTGTAGTGCCTGGAATCAGGCGCAGAAGGCCCGCTAACTGTGGCATTTACTCTCGCTGTTTCCAGCTCTGCTCGTAATTTTGCATACATCCTGCTGGCTGTGTTGATGTTCTGTGCGGGCGGGAGCTAGGCTTGGCAAAAATATCGGTGCCTTTGGAGCGGTATCGTGAACTTGGTCAACGTTAGCAACAACAATACCACCTGCTCTTTTTTTTTGAACGATAAACAGCATCAAATCCTTCAAAACACCCTCCTCTCCTCCAACAGCTTCACAATGGAGCACTCAAACGACGACTTCCCCCTCCCTCTCTACCCTCTCCGCCCGCAGGGCGTCTCCGAGCAGACCGAGTGGGCGTTCGGCATCTTCGAGTACCTTCGTGACGCCTACATTGGCGTGAGGAGACAGCAAGACGTCGCCGATGCGCGGACACTGCACCTGTTGCAGGGGTTGAGACGGGCAGCCAGGCAGTTCCTGGACAGCTTCGTGCGGGACTGTAAGGAACTTGCCTATCTGACTGAAATGTCACCAAATCAGAAGTTAAAGCTAATGATTGTTCTTGCAGGGCGAGCCGACAGCATCCTGCAGGAAGTCGAGAACGACTTGGGGCTGTGAGCCCACCACCACCACCCTCCCGGGTATCCTCGAGATACCACAGCACCACCTCCCTCCCTCGCGCAACGACGAGTAGCCGCCGGGCTACGAAGACAGCCCCACGACCGCCGCCACCACCACCCTCGAACCCCTCCAGCACCCCGCATTGCGGGCGAAAACGAGCGCGCCGACAAAGTCCAGGAGGAGGAGAAAGAGGAGGAAGGATGGCGTAGATAGAAGAATACAACAGATACCCAAACCTCCACAACGATGGTTCATTGCAGTGATGTTGCTGAGATACTTTGCCTGAAGTCGCGAAGTTCAAGGCGAATCGGGCCGACTTGGCAGCCCCTATTGACTTACATAAGGCACGTTGAAGAAGTCGAATTAGAATAGACAAGGACTTGAGAAATGGAGAGGTTGGAGATGTGAGAGAAATGAAGAGAGAGCGGGAAACACTGGTGAAGTGCTCCAAGCTGGGGTGTCAGAGAGAAAGGAAGGAGCAGGAATGAAAGCATCTTACAGCTCAGTAGCTCACCTTTGCTCTAATGTCAGCTATTGGCGTTCTGTGTGTTGCTGTGAGCTGTCTGTCTCCGCTGGATCCTCGCCGTCGGTATGAGTTCTGGCAAGGCTGCGAAGGCCTCTGGGTGTCAGCTTCGCTCCTTACTGTTAGAGATGTGTATCGGCGTCCTGCTGCCAGTAGACAATCAATCCTGCGTGTGTGATGTAACAGCAGGTGTCCAAGATTTGAAGCTGAGTGGGCTCGTGGCTCCCCCCCAGTTGGTGGGCAGGTGCTCGACGCAGCGCAGCCCGCGCAATGGAGCATGGGCATGTCACTGTAGGATGTCCAATGCTAAACCTCAGTGATGCCAGCATGCATGTCTCGCAAGCACCGCCGGTTTAGCAGCTGGAGTCACGATGTCGGCGCTCCTGCCGCAACTTCTGAAATCTCAAGGAGCCCGCAACTCCACCAGCTGCAGGCAAAGCAGCAGAGCAGGAGACGACTGTGAATCTACCCACTGACCGCGCGTCTACCAGCAGCGAAGCGTGCCATCTACAGCGATCCGAGCATCTCGATTCGCAATGCTGGTGTCGCTGCTTTCCCGCTGGGAACCCTCGCAAAGCTGGTAATTGCGCAGCTGAGGCTCAACCAGCAAGCTTGGAGGCTTTTATGACGCTTAGAGAATGCCATGTGCCTCATTTGCAATGCTTCAAGCTCCTGATAGCCATCCGCTGAAGTTTTTGCAACTCCACGAGTTGGCCAAGTTGGCCGTCGCTCCTGCTCCGGTCGCTGAAGCCCTGCAGCTCACGATTTCGGAGAACGAGTTCACAAGCTTTCGTGACGCTCAGAGAATGCCATATGCCTCGTCTGCCATACTTCAAGCTTCTGATGAGCCATATGTCGAACTGTATGCCCACATGGAGTTTTTCAACTCCACAAGCTGGCCATCCCCCGCTCTCGGCGCTGAAGCCCCGCAAAGCTGGCGTGCTCGCAGCTCGCAGCATCACCCAGCTTACAGGCTTCTGTATTCTGAGCAGGCTGAAACACTCTAATGCCATGCTTCGAGCTTCTCATGAGCCCTCTGCTGCATCTCACGCTCGTATGGAGCTCTTCTCGCCTTTGCGGGCTGGTTGTCGCACCTGCCGCATCTGCCACGCATCTGCCACGCAGGTAAACACCGCCAGTTTCTTGACGCGTTCTTGCACCCAGCAGATACAAGTAATGTACGAATGCAATCAAGTCCTCGTGAGCACTTCAAATCACCTCCTGAAGCCATAGAAACGTCCGAGGGGGCTCTGAAGCTCTGCCGAGCAGCCAGCTTGCCTGGCCACCGCAATTTTCAGCGGTTTGAGCTGATCTTTCGCCCGCAGTGTCTCCAAAGCTTCATAGGCGTCCTTGGAACGTATTCTGGCAGCAATTGAGCCTCTCAGACAATTTGTGAACGTGTTTTTCAAGCTCCACGAATGCCCTCGAGCCCACCACGCCTTCTTCAGCCAGCAGCCAGCAGCCACGGCACCCTCACGAGCTCTCCCATGCTCCTCTTGCACCCCGATCCCGCCCACATATCACACACACACCGTGCTGCTGCCTCTCCAGACCCCTGTCACCGGCCTGTCGCTCCTGCCTCCCCGGAGCTTACCGGAGGGCGGTGTCGGATCCCAGCCCCACTCGAAGCTACCGGAATCGCACGTTGGGGACCATCGTGATACCTGACTAGTGAAGCCTGGACGAACTTCAAATCCAGGGGCAGCTTTACAGCTGAGATGCACGCTCAACCCCAAACTCTCCGTAGATATCTGAGTAGATGAGGTTGGACAACTCGACGAGGGCTTTCTTTTGGCACCGCGTTTGAGGCTCTCCGAGCTCGTCTGCCGCCACAATCGAAGGCTGGGGGTCGGCTCAACGGCCTCCTCTTGTCGACACCAAAACCTCAGCAGGCTTCCTTCTCTTACTGCAATAGGCAACCTCATCGTATCGTGAGCAGTGAGCTCAGTATTCTGCGATTCCGAAGCTAGGAGGCGATAGCGTGCCAAGCGGAGGCTCGTCGTTGCCAGCATATAAGGCCTGCCTCCCTCCTGCCCTCCTACCTTCTCTCCACCTTTTCCACCTTCCAACCTCAACTCACACGAGGCTTTGATCGGAACATCTCTTGTCTTTGACCAAGCTTCCTTGACCACCTCTCACATCCTTGGTCACACCCATCCCAACATCCATCGCTACTGTACATCATCTGTCATCAGTCGCTATCATGTCTCAGCATTCACCTCAGTCGTCTGCTGGCAATGGTCCTGCATCAAGCCCTTTCGCTGGCACCGACCCCACCCTGTACTCACCTGACATGGCTCGTGACTCCAAGCACCGCAGCCACGACAGCGTCGCTACCGTCGTTGGTCATGGCAGCAAGGCCGGCCTGGGCATCATCTTCGAGAAGTCTAAGGAGCTTCCGCAGCCTGAGCCTTATGTGCCAGCTGGCTTTGTCGATGAGCTCGACCGCGACAACTTCATCTCTCGCCACATGATCGTCCTCCAGCTTCCTGATGGCACCAACGCCGGTCTTGATGCCGAGCACGAACTCTTCTCTGTTCAGCACCAGATGAAGCTGGTAAGTCTTCGTTCCTTCCTCTTGCTTGACCTTGCTGACCATGATCCAGTATGCTTGCTTCCACACCTGTGTTCCGGTCTACACTCGTGGCGTCCACCTTCGCTTCGATGACATTCGTGACTCGGCAGAAGGCAAGCAGATCCTTGAGCAGCATGGCTTCCAGGTCGAGTACATCACCGGCTATCAGTACGCCCTTGTCAAAGCCCAGGAGACTTCTCTTGTCAACGACTTCGAAGGCCAGATGCAGTTGTCTGTCATGATCGACGCCAACCCCGATCATGCCGTCTGGGAGTTCAGCACCGCCGATGCCTGCCACGTGGAGCACGCCGTCAAGAACATCGCTTCCGCCTTTGGCAAGGTTCGCAACCTCATTCACGTCGAGACCAACAGCAAGAAGATGACTCTCACCTTCCGTCTTGAGTTTCATAGTGTCGATGCTTGCAACCGTGCTGTCAACTCGCTGCGCATCGATCCTGTCTGGGGCACCAACTCTGAGGTCAGTCATCCACTCCTGCCATGTCTTCCCTTCATGCTAACTCTTACACAGAAGTCCTTCCAGTGGGTCACTGTCGATGCTGCCCATTGGTACACCAACCTTGCCACCATCTCTCCTGGTCGCCCCTTGCCTCGTGTCGACAACAAGGGTCGCTATCCGCAGTTCCGCGCTGCTGATAGCACCGATGGTCCCTTTGGCCACTACTCTCGTCACCCATCTGACCAGCACAACCGTGTTCGTCGCGAGCGCATCCTCGATGGCAGCGATGTGCGCACCACCATCATGCTTCGCAATATTCCGAACAAGATGGACTGGGTTTGTCACATCCTTCCACACTCTTGAACCTTTACTAACCTTGCTGTAGATGGCTCTCAAGGCTGTCCTCGATGAGCAGTGCTTCGGTTGTTACGACTTCGTCTATCTGCGCATCGACTTCAAGTCAGGATGCAACGTCGGCTACGCCTTCATCAACTTCGCCAACGTCCATGGCATGATCGCTCTCATCGACAACATCGAGCGTCGCTGCTGGACTGGATATCGCTCCCACAAGGCTGCTGAGATCTCCTATGCCACCATCCAGGGTCGTGAGGCTCTCATCCAGAAGTTCCGCAACTCGTCCGTCATGCAGGAGACTCCGTTCTGTCGTCCTCGCCTGTTCCACACCTACATCGACGCTGAGGCCACTGGCAAGCTTCGCTCCACCGGCACTGAGCAGGTCTTTCCTCGTCCCGACAACCTGTCCAAGCTCCAGCGCTCCATGGATAGTGCTCGTACCATCGGTTTGTTTCCCCCTCACGGCTATTCGTCTCTCGCTGAACACCGCGTCCGTGGTAGTGGCTATGATCGTGGCACTCCCCGCGACATTATGCAGGCAGCTATGCACTTTGCGCGACAGCGTGCGGCTCCGGCGCCGACTGAGATGCTGGACCTTTCCGAAGCTACGAAACATGACATCGAGGTCTGGTACACCCGCGTCTATGGGCAAGGCCGCCTTGGATGCATTCCATTCGACTTCATCCCTATGACTCATCTCGCCTTGTACTTCGCCCAGCAGCAGACTAGCCCTCAGGCCATGCCCACCAACCCTGGTATCATCGGCGCTCCCGCTCATGGCTACGACCAGTCCGATGCTGGCGTCTTCAGCAGCCCCTCTCGCTACTCCCCTCTGTCCGCTGACAAGTACACCAACCCTCGTGGCAAGTACGTCGATCCTTTCAAAGGCAACTGGTAAGAGCTTCGCTCTTGCAACCCGACTCTTTTGTCATCGCCTTTGATCGTCTCGGTGTTCATGGCAGTCTTTCCCATGTTTTCCCTTGTTCTCGGCTGTTTTCGAACGTTTTTCGACATGGTTGTCTCAATGAATGTTTTCGACAAGACTTCCTGGGTATACTTAGTAGCACACTAGAGTGTTGCTGGCTGGCCTTTGTTGCGTTCGGAATGATCTGGGTTCGAGCTTCGATGTTTCGTGTTGAAGATCTCTGAAGATGTGATGGAACCATGGCCTCTTCAGGTCAAACATGTAACCACTTTTCCTTTCTTACAACCAATCAATGAGCACTTGCTCACCAACTCCTTCCTTCTCTTGCTTCGTGATATCTTTGCTGTTGATGAGCTGGCTGTTGTGATGTGTTCTGTTGGCTCGAGATGCTGTCGCTCTCGTGGTTGATGCTCGGCTTGCTCGTCGCTGAAAACAGCTCACAACAGCTTCTTATACCGCTTCAGGCCGCGTCCAATAGGTCTCTAGTGAGGATTGTCTGCTCGAAGTACTTGACAAGGCCCTACTCTTGCTGTCGAACTTGAGAAGCATGATGGCGTCGTGCAATGAAGAGTGAGGATGACTGACGGAAGCCAGTTGATACGAATCCAGAGAGAGGAAGGAGAACATGGCGAGGCATGTCTCGATACGTCTGGAGACGTCGTAAACTGGAAAGGCGACGGTACTAGCAGCAGAAAGATGATCGAGGTATTGACGTTGGTAGAGCAGGTGTGAGGTGGTTGCTTCCCATCGATGACGGCGTAAAACCCTACACCGACAAGCCACAAAGTGGCGATGGAGACGAGAAGATGTATTGGATGTAGCTCCTCACTGTTGAGTATTGCAAGGCGTGGAGTGGCTGACTTGTAGAGATAGAAGGGTGAGGAGAATGTGGACCAGGCTTGCAGTGTTCGACTTGAAGTGGTCGGTGAGTGTTGAGTAGGGCGTTTCGAAACGCTCTGGGAGATTCACGCGATAAAGAATGTGTTTGGCGTTGTGGTGCAGTTGTCGAGCAAGTTTTGTGCTGGTCGCTGGCAAGCTTGATGTACCAGACTCGTTGGTGACCGAGCTCAAGAGACGATGCCAGGGATACCTGACGATACTGTTTTTGAGTAGGTAGATGCACTAGACCATGCAATCCACCTCCCGAAATATGGAAGCGGTAGAGCGAGAATTGGCGCAGTGACGTTGGTCGGAGGGTAGAGGTGGAACTGACCGGGGATGCAGTGGCGGGCAGAGGCTCAACACTGCAGATGTAGTGACCTTTTCTGATGAAGAGTATGGTCGAGCATGCATGATAAAACTGATCGAACCACAGAGGCCTGGTCCAGGTCAAAGTTCACGCTGATGGTGGGTTGGTTCGAAACACGAGTTGAGCTGGCGACGTGGTTGAAGCGACAGCATCATGACTGCCGAACAATCCCATAATTTGTGCGGTGGATGTAATGAGGTATTGAAAGTAGCCTCCGAAGTTTCGAAGCAGTAGTGCAAAGTTCGGTGGAGTGGTGCAGGTGGGAGGGTAGGTAGAGAATGCCTCGCCACGTGACTTTCGACTCGCAGAAGGGGTCGATGAAGGCGCTAATGCAGGGGAATTTTCCTCGCTTTCGAAGGTACATCTGAATCAGCTGAAAGCGTTGTGCACGCATCACCCTGAAAGAACGTGTTGTCGCCGCTTGACCTCGCACGGTGTGCTGTGGTGATGCAGCGAAATTTCTGGTTGCCGTTCCTTCCACACTGGATCCCACCACGTCAGACGCAGCGTCATTAAAGACAGCGTGCGACTGCTGACGAGACTGACGAGACTCTCATCATGAGGTAGCCGTGAACATTGCGGAAAAAAAGAGCCAGAATGCACCATAAAGTGAGGGGTGATGAGGGTGTAAGAAGAATGCAGGAGGCAAGAGGGAAGACAAAAATTAGGGAATTTCACGACCCCACAATCCGCGTGACGAAGATGCTGTGGAGTAGATGGCTTCGAGTGGAAGGAGCTGCCAGTCCTTCGTGGGGCTAGCTCAGGGGTTGTCCGACATCATGGCGTCCTGAGAAGGACTGGGCTCGAGGACAACAAACCCTGATCTGCTATAGGCATGGGAGTTTGCTGGGTACTAGCTCAGACATCTTCTGCTGCAGTTCAAGATGAAGAAGCAAGAAAAGGGGAGGTCGGGCTGCTGAAGGGATGTCTGATGGCTCAGCATGCCAGCGAGGAGCAGGAAGGAGAGCACATCAAACAGAATGAACATCTCAACGACTCTGATAAAACTGCCCGTATCAAAGCTAGAGATATACAAACTTGATGACATGCTTGCTCACTACCGTTCTCTGACTGCATGTTCAAATTTACATCTTCTTGCACGGACAGTCGCGGAGGAGACGCATGTCTGGAGTGTCAGACCAACTTTGCAGTTATTCCCTGAGCCTCAAACAACCTGCACCATCTGCATTCTGGCTTAGCTTCATTGCTGGTACCACAAAGATGCTTTTGCCATCTCTTGCAGCTTCACCAGACCTCTGTACACTGCGTACGGCGAGAGGAAGGCGTTGTGGTGGGGCGCACGGGCCCCGCGATATTTCGTGATGCTCGCCGTGGTGTTGAGCTGCCTCCAAGGCTGCGGATGCCCGCCAAACCACCACGGAAAGTCACAAGCCCAACAACGTCGACCAGCTATCACATCACCTTCTGGAGCTCTGAATGTCGCTGAGGATATTCAGGAAGCTGGCGAAAGATCGTGTTTGGTGTCCCACTCGGGCCTAGCCGTTCGCATCTGGCGGGAGTTTGTGGGCATCACGAACATCTCCTGATCCCAAGGCCACGCTGATTACCCGCCTCTCTCGACAACACGAGGCATGCCTTGTCTTCTCTGGCAGCTCTTCCGCAGCATGAGCACGCTTCGGAGGCTCTGAGATGTGCATACGGCGGGCGCCGCACATGGCGGCTCCAGACTTTGGCCGGCTTGCTATCCACCTTGACTGACGGCAACAGCTCCACACCACGGCAGGTACATTGACGACTGCAGCGTATGCATTGGGACCACACAAGGACCTGAATAGCTCATATGCCGCCATGGCGGTTCCAGACTCTTTCGCAGGAGCTGTTTCACACCCCCACCGCGGGGAACATTCGTACAGCACAACTCTTCGATCAATCGCAACACCACTCCGCGCAACGCACACGAAACGCGTGCGTAGCTTATGGGCTCGAGAGCATGGAGAGGGCACGTCACACCTCCAACAGTGGTTCACCCGCCCCTGCAGCGGAGAGCGGCCTTCGTACCGCGGCATTCGACGCCTGTAGGTTCCATCCGCCGCCAGCGTCATGGAAGAGCGGTACCTCAAGATGTACGCGTACCTTGAACGAGATGTTCGGAGGCTAACTCGACACACAGCCAGACGAGTTCGCGAGCGAACCGCTTTCTACGCAACTCGAAGGTCCACACGGCGAATATCACCACACAAGCGTCCACGGAGCGGTGCCATTCTCTACCATACCGATTACGATACGGTATGGTATGGGCCCTAGAGCAGAGGACCATGTTGTTTCGACAACTACACGGCGAGACTTTTCGCTTATTGGCGCCCTGCGACCTTGAGATGGACATGAACAAGCCTTCGGCGACAGCCTGAGACGCCAACTACCTATCGAGAGGAAACGATCCCGACGTGAACGTGGCCCTTCGTGCAACACCAAGCCCATCGATGTTGGTGAGATCCAACAACGCCGATCTTTTCTTGACCAGGTAATGCAGCGTCCACTGCAATGTAGTCCAACTCTTCTCGCAAGGATGCGAATTTCGGTGCAATTAGAGGCGAAAAAGACAAGGTTCGGGAATTTGGACCGACTAGGGAGCGATTGACAAGCCTTCCAAGAGGTCTTGGAAAGACGGCCGATCGTTCATCAGCAACAAGAACTACGACGGGTTATTGATCCCGCGTTAGGATTGGTCCTTGAAGTGATCATCGCCGACCAACAGGGTTGCAGGCATGCGGACATGATACCCACAAGATACCCTGTTGATTTGACGGCCTTGAGGATCCGTCCGAACAAAGGCCCGATATGTTCCCACGCTAAATGCGCCCAACGACAAGGCCCTGAATCCTGCGGGGATGTCGAGGTCCATGCCGCTGGCGTTCTCAAACATCCTTGACCTTGCGCCATGTAGGATGTGACGCAGGGGCAGAGGTCTCGATCGTGATGATCCGCGGGACGTTCGACGGCAAAGTCCACACCAGGGCTAGCGGGTGAGCACTCTCGGTTCAACGCTCCTGCATGGATCACAGCGGAGATCTCACCGATCCCGCACTCTTGAATAAGACCAGAGCAATGCACAGGAGGCCTTGCGGCATTGATGATGTCGATAGAGACGTCGACAAGAGAATCCTGGCTCCCGCTAACGGGTTAAATTGAACGATGCTCGAGTTTGGATTCGGCGATCTTTTGCCTCAAGACATGTTGTTCATGTCATCTTGGGCGTTAGAAATAAGCCGACAATTCGAGCGACCCGTGCTGACGGCAATCCATGTCAAAGTCGGCAGGTATGCAGCGCACTTCCTTGCAGCTCTGATGGAGCGAACACAACAAGCCGAATGGGGAACAGGCAAGCTTCAGTGCTTTGGCAGACACCTTCGAGCCTAAGTCATGCCCGTGAAGGGATCCACTAGGAGCCGACTCATGAACTCGACGAGACAGCCAGCTTCATCAATCGGGCCGATTATGGCAAAAGCCAGCCTTACGGCAGGGAACAGGAATGATTGGGCTCAAGAGCCGTCAGCTCGTCGCAATGCATCCGATGAAGAGTTGTGATCTGGTGTATTCCCAAGCTCTTTCTTTGTCGATCTAAGGCTGACTTGTCGACGACGCGCAACTTCTTTTAAACTGGTGGGGCCGCAAGATCATCTGACGTTCGTCATAGCCTAGGATGAATTTCAACTGGAACTGCTAGCAAACATAGCGGACAGCCAAGGAGCGTCAGCCTTGCCCAGCTGTCTTTGGCCTGTTCCTCTTAAGATAGAACGGTGTCGTGTCGAGCCCATGATAAGACTCCACTCAAGCTGACGTAAAGCATACGAGGAGGAGCATACAAGCCCGACGCCTGCGAATCGGGGGCAAGTCTTAGGTGCCATGAACAATGTCTTCCAAGATCCAAGCCTTGTTGTCATGAACACATTCCTGTCTGCCCAGGAAGCATCGACACCAAAATACTTGGAGATATGAATTCTCTGCATGGGAGACGAGCCTCGTGGTCACAAGAGACCGGGACAAGCGTTCGCCCAAAACATGTCATCTGAGAGCAATATGTGTACATCGAAGTACAATACTTGAGACATGATGTGGAGTGCCAAGGCGACCCCGCACAAGTCTTGACAACATCACTCCTTGCGGAAGTCCATGAACCAAGAAGAGATTCAGCTTATTGCCTTGGTGGCTGTCGGCGTTTGAATTCGGCGCACAAGTCTCCTCGGCGGGGATGCGGGTGTGTCGTCGCGCACATGTGTCTTCCTGTCAAGGGCCTCTCACGAGTCGTGGGCACGCTCGAACGTCAAATAGGTGTACCTTGTCCTTTTCGAAACGGCTTTTTGCCAGGCTTCGGGAAGCTGCCTACGAACGGTCATTGTGTTCGTGGCTGCCCGCAGATACTGGATCCCGGTGAATCTATCTGAATGTGTTCGGACTTGGACATGTGATCCTATTGGACCAAGAGGCCTTTTGAAGTGGCCACGAACCCGTCACATACAGGCCTCGCCTTCTGTGCGAAGATCTCCTGGAAGTCTCGTCTGTTGTCCTTCCGAGTTGTGGTGGCCTGCCGGTGGGAGCGCAAGCCGGACCCCCACCTCGTCTTTGTGTCTTGTAGACACGTTTGAGCGAGCACATCTAGGGTCACTCTCTGAGTCCTTGGCACGGCAACTTTACGATGCTCCGAGTATCATGTCTGCACCCACGTTGTCCACCGAAGCTCCATAGTCGTGGTTGTGGTAATCGATTCTCGGTTGACTGGTCGCAATCACTGTTCGTCTTTCGTTTGGATCGCGAGCGGTAGGGGTGCGTCCACAGGCAGACTGGTCTTTACGGGAACATGAGGATCGCGAGCCAATGGTCTTGGATCAAGTCATCTTCGGGCGGCCCGGAGCGTTGTCAGCCGATGCTGTTTGCTTTCAGGGCGGATGGTTGTTGTCCCGCGCTTCCTAAGGTTGATTCGTCTGGGGAGTTAGTCGTTGCTTGTGTCAATCAGGCGCTCGCGATGCCCCGAGGCTTCTCCTTGTGCGATGGTCGCGGTTGCGTGCGCAATGCCTAGTAGCTACCATGCAGAACGCGGAGCAGGCACGATGCCCGAGAGGTCGTGTAGAGTTTCAAGAGCTACTCAAAGGTCTACAAAGAGCTTTCGTGAGCTCTAGATTGTGGTAGAGGACTTCTGAGGGGCGACAGAAGGGGTGGTTGCTGGGGGAGATCAATCGTCAACGCGGCAACGCGGCAACGCGTGAATGACTCTGGAGATTTAGCTTTCGCAAAGCTCCTCCATGACGGTCGCTCGCGCTCGTAGTACCATCTCAGAGGGCTGCGAGTATCATCACTTTGGTGTTGTTGGAAATGGTTGTGGTGTTCTGGTAGGGGTGCCTGAGATGAAGAGAGCTACCCCACGCAAAAAGCATCGAGCCGAACTACGCCAGGGGTACCGGAAGGCTACCAACTGCTCCGGAACACTATCACAGCCGTCCTACGCAGAAAGCAAGGGCATCACAGGCTGCTTAGCATAAGGTCCTATGGCCCCCTGATGTACTTGAAGATGAAAAGGGTGTGAGATCTCAGAAAGAGCTCGAAGTCGGACTCGGCAAAACATTTGCATGGGTCTTCCACAATTTTCGCCAGCCCTACCGTCTCCACCACACCCACGCTAGTTTGGAGCTGACGGCGCACCACTGAAAGACCTGACCTCCCTTCACGGCAATGGATAGCAACATCCTAAGATTCACAAGAGTCTACGGCTGAATGCTGTGAAACCACGTAGAGATCATCCGCCCATCTCCCTGACCTCCGCGTGGCGAGGACCGCCTCCGGTAGGCCTATTGCATACGAATTGTTACACCATATTGGCCGGATCTTACTCAGATCTCCTCACGAGACTTCTCAGCAGGAATTCGTAGGATCGCGAGAAACTGTGGATAACACTATAGTTTTCGTGTTCGCAGGACTCTCACCGCTTGAAAATCTGGATCACGAGCTTGAAGGCCTCGTTAAGATACATGTGCGATCAACAGCTACGTCCATCTATTTGGAACACCCACGCCTTAGAACTGCGTTACTCGTGGCGCACATGTGGTGTTGCTAGGCTAAGCTGAAGTCATCCCGTTTGCTGTCAAGAAACAAATGCTCTTCGCCCAAGGTACAACAGAGCCTCCGCCTCCCAGCACGATTATCGAGTCGCCCGCTATAGTCGCCTTCACCGCAGAATACTCATCCTCACCGTCGTAGTCGCCGCTTCGTTTAAGAAGATTTTCCCCCACGCTCCTTGCTTCCCCCCAAAGCATGCACCCACGTCCTGCACGACCACTCCACGCAACCGTACCACCTGAGCAATCACGACCCCATTGACATCAACGCTGCCTACCTACAGAAGACACTATCGCCATTCCAAGGCTGCGCTGAGAAGTATCACACACGCACATCTCCTCGCATCCGCACACGGCAGCCCGCAGGACTTGCCATATTACATCCGCCAGCGCATCACAAGGCCTGTATACCTTCACAAAGCTCTACTTATACATTCATCTTACCTATCTCCCTTCCTGTCCACCTACAAACCACCAAAATGGCCGCCAACACCACCTCCAACATCACCGCCGCGACCCTTGTCATGGCAACGCCGCACGACAAGGCCATGCTTCTGGACGTCCACGGCCTCCTCGACAAGATCTTCGCGCGGAACCAGAACCAGCACCGCCGCAGCCACTGGTGGAAGTCGCTGCACGCCTTCCGCAAGCAGCTTGGCCTCCTGCTGGAGGAGATGGCTGGCTCAAAGGCCGAAGCCAAGATCGAAGCTCGGCTTCGCTACTGGGATGAGAAGTTCATCCACATGTGGTACTAGTAAGTTGTTTCGCCTTCACTTTTACTTTCCTGGTGCTGATAGTTTGAAGCCAATTCAGCCAGCTCGTCGCCGTGGGCCCGTTTGCGATGCTAGGCATCGTCATGATGGCGAGCGTTGCGCGCGTGTGCCGCATCTGCGGTATCACCGCGGTGTACGAGGAGATCGCCTCAGGCGACATCAAAGGCGTTTTGAGCGCCAATGATGAATTGGCTTTGGCGGGAGAGTTTGCTGGGGTGTTGGATGAAGAGGAGGGTTGGGGTGAGGATGAGGGTGTGGTGGTGGAGAGGGAGGAGTAGGGGCTGAGAATCTTCTCAGCATATGTATACTGGTCAAAAGTCTTTGGGTTAGTTGGCGTTTGGGGTGGGATGGTGGCGCCTGGATAGCTTCGCCATAATGAAGCACCGTCTCGAGAGTTATGCTGATATGAAGACACACACGATTGTGCATGATGTGAATGATCGATCGTTCATTGTATTATGAAGATATCCAGCCTACCCTTCCTCGCCAACATATGTAACCGCATCTGCTACGTTCCCAGCTAACCATTCAGCAGCCAGTCGGCCCGTCTCCTCACCACACTCCCTCTCCACCCTCGCCGGCTTAGTATGCATCCCATGATCCGCGCCGCTCACAACCACCAACTGACTCCTCGCCTTCATTTCCCCTCTAACCTCCTCCAGCAGATCCAACGGACACATCGCATCTCTCTCACCAACAACAAACAATACCCTGACTTTACCCGGCAAGTCCAGTAATATCTGACTCCTCACCTCCTTCGGCCCTTTTAGCGGATACGACACTAACACTAATTCCACCTCGTCCTCCGCGCTCTCCATTGCGGCGATGACTGCAGCTCTGGCGCCCATGCTGCGACCCCCTAGGGCGAGTTTCTTGCCGGAGGAGATGTGATGGATGCAAGCGAGGAAGCTTTTTACGCGGCTTGCGAGGTTCATGGATCCTTGGAAGGCGGTGATGGGGGATGTGCGCGAGAAGCCGGTGCAGAAGTTGACGACGGCGGGGGCGGAGAGGGTTCCGCCTGCGCCGTGGGTGAAGATGAGGATTGGGCTGGTGGACTTGGTTGGGGGGGTATAGGAGTGGCATTGTATCGGCATCTTGACGAGCTCGGAAGTGATGGACAGGGTTGCATAGTTGGCCGGTGATGCTAAGCTGTCTGGCTGAGCTGAGGACTTTGCTTCTGGTCGTTTCTTCTGTTCTGGCGTAGTTTCTGGGTCATTTAGAGTAGAGTCTGACTTCGCTTTGGCTTTCTGTTTCTTGCGCGATTTCGACTCGAACTTTTGTGACGCGGCAGGGGTTTGCGCCGTGGACAGGTCAGCTTTTGCGGAGGCACGTGTGACGCGCCTCGTCGCGAGTTGTTCGGATGTCCTATCGTACATTTTCCTTTTCCTGGGAGGCATGTTGGCTGGCGGTCGGTATGCTTGTCTTGATTGTCAGACCTGTATGTTGTAAGGGCAGATTTGCGATACCATGGTGTCATGTGCTACGGAGGAGTGATACCTGCTTCATTGGAACTACAGTGCGATTTGCATAGTGACGTAGTTACGACTTCGTATGTAGTGTTTGCTATTCCACTCGCCTCCCCAGCCACCCCCAGCCACCTGCCCAAGTTCTCAACATCTCGTTCGCGACTTGTGTCAGCTCTTGTTCAAACGAATTCTTCTTCGCAAAAGGAGCACCGTGCGTGACTGCAGCTCTGACATACGTTCTGCCATAAGGAATATGGACCATCTTGACATTCGCTGCAGTACCACACAGTCTGTAGGTCTATTCCGGGTTTTGCATCATAACACCTACCACTTACTGCAGTACCATTATCAGGGTACACAGATTGAGTAGCCACAGAGTGAGCGCTATGCGCAGCAGCAATACTCTGGTCAGTTCTTACATGCCACGGGGGGCGGCCATGGTCAATACCCGTCTCCTCAACTCGGTTTACCAGCCCTACTTCCGTGGCTTTGAATTCGTCTTTCACGTCGTTCAGGATGTCGGTCATGGGCACCATCCAGAGGTTTCCAAGAGCGTCGGTAGCAACCAGAGTTCCGTAGACTCTGGTCCAAATATTATTTTGCTTAGAATCAACGATCCAGGTGCCAGAGTATCCAACAGGCGGAACTATTCTAGATTAGTGATCGATTTTCACGTCAGTCACCATTACTAACCTGCAATCTGGGTCAACTTTAGAACATGTATATCCACGAACTTGTGTCCCGAGGGAAGTATGGCTCTTGCCGGTAGTGATTGTACGACGCAGTGGTATTCGGATGTATTGCGGGTTGTGACGTGTTGGTCTTGTGTGGGCCGGACCGCGCCAATCAATCCACCATACCCTGCCGCACATTTGTATTGTCCGCTCAGGATTCCATTGACTTCTATGAGAGCCCAGTCGCGATTCCGAGCTCGTGGCGAGTACGATGCCTTAGACATGGTGCCCAGGCTTACCCAGTGGACTTCGTCACCGATGCTGCTGCTTTTTTCGTCATCTTCACCTTCTAAGATTGGTGCTTCCGTGGAGCTGGCCATGTTTCTCATGCCCACCAAACTCTCCTGGGAATAACCAGCAGAAGGTCTTGATTCGTTTTCATTTTCGTCACCGGACTTGTCTTGTTCATCGTCTTCGTAATTGTCATCATCATCGGAAGTCGTGGAACTACCACCTTTGTACAGCCCCTCGTCGTGTAGATTATCAGCTGGTAACACATGCCCGGCCGTCAAACCATAGAATTTCTCCTCGCCAATGCTATCAACGATACGAATAATGCCTCCCATTGTGGCGAAACGAGCTTCTCCGGAGTGAAAGACTTTGATTCGTGGGGTCCATACTTCGCGCAATTCCAGATCCTCCTGTTTAGTGAAAACCTCGTCACATTTATCGCTGGTGATCTGGACGAAAGCTTCTGTGACAATAATCTCAAATCGGATGCTGCAAGACGACGGGCCCTGGCACAGATTCTTGATGAAGTCTTCGCGAAGAAACGATTTGATCTTCCGCTTTGCTGCTCTGGAGCAGCGTACCACGATCCATGGCTTCGCGTCATTCGGAGTATGCCCGAGCACCAGAATCTCCAAACTCAAAGGGCGGAAGTCAATGCGCTTCTTGTGCAGAAGCGCGAGTAGTGCGGGTTCCAGTTTTTCGTGAACGCAACGAAAACGTTCTCTGACCGTATTATCTATAGTCTGGTTGAACACTCGCATTCCCTTGAGTGTTGGTCCTCCTGTCTCTAGAGCGTGAGCTGAAACTGGGGTAGCTGCAGGAGACAGGGCTGTTGGTGTAGGTGTAGGCGGCGGGTCAACAGCATCTGTTTGTAGGAGTGATGTCGTATTCGCAGCAGACTCGGCGTTATCATGTCCTTCTGGCTTGCTTTCGGGATGCTTTTGTGGACCAAGAGGGTCATGAGTGCAGTCTTTTCCAACATCTCTCGTGGACAAGGAGAGAACTTTCCTTGAATTGTCGACGAGTGAGCGATCTTGGCGCAAAAACTTGGCTCGGCTCTGGGTCACTTTTACCCTCTTATTCCCCAAGGAAGAGAAGAAAGGGCCTGATCTGGTTGGAGAGATTGGTATGTCGTAAGGTGACACAACAGAAGGCTCTTGAGCATCAGAATGCTCTGGACCTGGTTCTGTTGCCATGAGGATATCTATCACAGGCCGGAAAGATCATATTATGGGAGCTGTTTTTGTGGCATGGTTTATTCAACGTTGTCTTATTCGTGCTGAATCACTAGCGAGACCGGTCAAGCTTAAACCAATCACGAAATCAGGCTTTTTCTGGCGGAACTCAGCCTTCTCAACCGGTCAAAGGGTTACCACTCCATTCGCTATCAGCACCCGAGTATGCCTGAGTGAGCAACTGTACTGCCTGCTAGATGAAGTGTGCGTCAATGCGCCTCACTAGCCGTCATCCATGGCGTCCACCGGTCAAGCCCAGGCTGAGACGACGTCCGGGCGATTGAATCAACCAAATTCCATGGACTCAGAAATTTTCATATGTACACCAGATGAAGGATGGCAACAAAAATCGCGACTAGTTATCTCGGGCCAGTTGAGGACGCCACCAGACAGCAGCTTGGAGGGATCCTTTGGGATTGGCGACTGTGTGGGAAGTGTTCTGCGAAATCTTCTTGTGGAGATATAGAGTGTCCATGGAACCCGAATAGCGACTGCAATACCTTTTGGAACCTGTACGAACAGATGGCTACAGCCTACAACCCCGAGCGCTTGGGTAGAAAAGCTGCGATTGCCAATCACGAAGAGCTCCTCGGCATTGTCAAGCAGATAAAAGCTCGAAAGAACACGCCACGGAAAGACATCCTGCGAGATATCTTCGAAGTTGACGGAGCGGGAGCACGACGAACCGCCGACATCATGGGATCAGAATCGAGCCATTCAACATAGCAGCCAGCCTTCTTCTACTGGTGGACCTCAACATCTTGCACGATGCTGCAAACATATCATCGGGAAGAGCTCCAGTTATTCCTTGGCGAGATGATGCATCCGTGGAAACGTTTATCGAAGAGGCTCTTCCTCCTGGATCTGCACTTATGTCTCCCAACATGCAGTACTTTCTACCGGATCTGAGAGCAAAGAAGTTGTCAAAACATGCCAAGCTCCACGTGAGGGCCACAAATGATATTCGACGACATCTCCTGCTGGATAAGAAAGAGAAGATCGTGTGGGTCTTCCATCAAAGCACGGCCTTGAGACAGCTACTATCATCTATGAAAGACGGCACGACCACGGGTGTTTTACCACGAGACCTCATACTGGAAGTTTTACACACAATCCATAATGTATTATTCCCTCCAGATCCGGGCTCACAAAAGCTGCTCAGACGTCTCGTCAGGAAGCATGGTTGGGACAAGGGCCTGGAGCTCGACACAACCACGCCCGAAAGAAAGTACAAGGATCCGGACATCTCGTTCAAGTATTTTGGGCAGCGCTTGGAAGAGCTCTACGATGAGATGCAAACTCCGACTCCGCATACATGGCTGCACAGACGACTCAAGAAGAGGGAGGACGCGTACGTGCTGATGGTGGCGATGTATGGAGTAATCGTGGCAGTTGTCTGTGGGTTCCTTACTTTGGTGACCGCAATCTTCCAGTCGTGGGTCGCGTGGCAACAGTGGAAACATCCTGTGAACTGATCAACGCGCCACTTACCGGGCGAGATCCTGCACATGATTGCACCCAACGAAGGCGATGCTGGTATAGATTCAGGACGAGGTCCACGGCGCATCGGCGATTTCTCCCTCTATCATCCTCGCCAGCATCTATTGTGTGGCGGCAGATATTTGTCAGGTGTGCATCTCCAGTTTTCAGTGTCATCTTTGGTTCGGCTCGCTTTGGGGCCGAGGAGATGTCCAAGTTCCCAATCTCTTTACAGGCATCAACTTCGCACATCACCAGGAAAATCAGACAGGTATATTCGTTGCGGTGGAGTTGCTTCGTCCAAAACTCTGTCCGGAACTTTGATTCCGCGGACCGGAGTCCGCTCTCGTTCATCCTAGATACCACGGATAGCCTGACTGTGCGAAGCTGGGGTGAGGCTGCCGACTCTGCCCGCCAGCCAACATTTCGCTTCACGCGACAGCCGCGGGCCGAGCGTTGCCTCTGGCAGTGACCCGACGTTACATTGAACTATTGGTACATGTAATCTTGTTTTGGAGAGTGTTCCCCTGTCGCAGCAGACACCAGGTGTTGAGTTGGTATGATGACCGGCAGTCTCCGTCAATATTTCCGATGGAGTTGCAAGTTTGGGGCTGCGAATACCAAACGTGGTACAATAAGCAAGATCCCGTGACGTTAAGATCTGCACATATCGATGATCATTCGGTGACGAGCCAGCCATGTGTCCGAGCCCACCCAGGAACGCCGCATAAACCATGCCCATGGACAGAGGCACCACTTCCCCAAAGCAGCAGGCTAGACCGCAAAAGCTGCTATCGTGAACCAAATCAAGAAAATCAAAATGCAACCACAATCTCACGCCAGGTTGGCAGTCTAAACTCAACTCATGCTCCGCGGCACTCCCGCATCTCGGTTACCCCAGCCATTGGCCTCGCATCACGATCCCTGCGCTGCAAGCCTTGCCCTGCTGATGTCCACATGGCCAAGAGCAAGAAGCAAGGTGACAAAATGTCCGATTCGCCGTGCATTAACAGTCACAACAGTCCACAACGCCAGACGCCACAAACGTGCGTGCCGCAGGTTGCAACCTTCGCTTTCGCATCCGGGCCAATCACAGCGTCCGGAGGGTCGACCCGAAATGATTGGTGAATTTGGGGTTAGGCGAGCGCGGACCGAGTCGGCTCAGGGCGCTGTGATCATTGCAATCGGTGAGGGCTGCACGAAAAGTGTGGGGTCGTGCTGTGCAGGGGCACCGTGGTGTGGCAGTGTGAAAATGAGTCGCGCGCATCCACGGTCACCATGGTCAGATTTGACAATGTTGCTTTCGCGGAGATGCTGGCCGACTGTTCTGGGCGCGTCCAGGGGCGGTGTGCTCGAAGGCAATTGTCAGGACTGGAGGGCAATGCACTGCAAAGGTTGGATATGGATATGGATGTGAATATGAATATGGATATTGTTATCTTATGTGTTGGTTGTATGCTATAATCGTGACGCTGCGCACAGCGCAAGCGAAACTCTCCATGATGTATCGCTATGAAATAATGCAAGAATGGTCTATAGTGTTACAGTAACGTGGCGTGGGTATGGTCGAACGAGGCGCGCGAGTTGGTATATCCAAAAAAAGCAAATCGACACAATTTTGTGCGAGCACAACGGAGAACGGAATATACAGAGGTTTGTGAGAAGAACTGTCGAGTAAGAGACTGATGGCACCATGTTTGAGAAAGAGACCCATAGATGTCTTTGCAAATACAGCCCCCGACTGGAAGTAAGGACCAAGGGGTATCGCGCCATAAAACATTCCACATAACAAGCTTCGTGCTTCTAATCGTAAATGTCGAATCAGATGTGCTTTTTCTAATAGCCAGGGTGGGAGGTGGCAGGGTATTTCTCATCTGCTACATAGTATGATTGCGGATGGGGAGGAGTACCGTAAGGTGAGACGCCGTATAGAGGTAATGATGATCTTCTCTGTGAGTCGTGCTTGTGCGCAGATTCTGGACGATGTTGTTGGATCGGGGTGCTGTGCTGTGATGAAGGGACATGCACGTTGTAAGCTGCGGGCTGCGGTACGGAATAATGCGGAGACTGAGTCAGCTGAGGTCGGTTGGAGGCCGAGTACGACGACGCGCTGGCCGGCTCATACGAGTAGTGACGCGCAGATTGCGACTGAGCGTTATAGCCTTGCGATGTCGGATTCTGGACCGGGTATTGCGGGCTGGAGGACAATGGCGATGGATAGTGCTGGGGTGATGCAGGCTGGGCAAACTGATTAGGTGGTTGTGGTGCATATGTCTGCGGCGGTTGTGGAGGAGCGTATGCCTGTGGAGACGTTTGTTGAATGGAGTATTGTGGCGCGGCTGAATGAGGTGAGCCGTATTGGTGCGGACTTCGCGTGTGCCGCCGTGTACGGTGGTACTTGATGACCGTGCCAGTAGTCAGGAAGATGAAGATGGAAAGGGGCATGGGTTTGAACCATCCCGTGGCCCACGGCTTGAGTGACTGCATCAATAACATGGTGTTGCAGATGACTTGGCTGCATATGCTGTCCATAAGCACCGACGAGAGGCATGTCTTTACCTTCCTCATCCTCCAAGCTCACTTTCCAGCCATTGAGGAGTTCTGCTCTAGGGTGGATGTCTGCAAGCTTCGTCGTCTTGGTATGGTCGCTTGAGCTTTCCACTGACCACGTCTTCGAGACTATAGTAGGAAATGACGTGGTGATGTGTTCCCTGGTATTTGACAGAGATTGTCTTCTTCATCAGACCCCCCTCTTTGAACTCGTAGCTGTCGATGAGCGACCCGCAGAAGCGACGCTGTTGGTCAGGTGTAAGGCTTTGGGCAAAGTTGGCGTAGACCTTGTTGTTCGAGTCCGGATCGGCAGCATCGAAGGATGGGGTTTCAAATTCGTCATCGGAGTTGTTGACGTTCTCTCCTGTCCTTGTGACAGTGGGGCCAGCACTTTCTTTGCGCTTCCGTTTGGTACCACACGAGGGGTTAAGGGCGGTCTTTTTCTCCTCTGGTTTGAGTGCGCGTACGAGTTGCCCGGTAGATTAGGCAGTTGTTCATCACGCGACTTGGAGACCAATGAACAGCATCAGTCCAGCGGCTTGATACCTGATGCATTCTCCTCATATACAAGGACGGTCCCGGAAGTCAACATCTCCGCACGCTCCTTGTCATGCGGCCTACGGCTGATGTGGCTGAGGCGACCTTGCAAGGCAGCTTCTACTACAGTCATTGCGTCCTTGGTGGTATCGAGGAATCCTCGCCATGTTGGTTTGAATGCGGGTTGCGCTTTGATGAGGCCGGGCGGTCCATGGGATCTCGGCGGTGGTCCAGCGGTCGCCAAATGGTTTCGCGGTACTGTGCGTGAGGTGGGAGGTTGCAATTGTGCAGTGAAGTTGGTATACATGGAGGGATCGAATACGTTCGGATAGGAGGAATGTTGTGTTGTCGATGGCTGTGGCCAGACCCAAGCATCGGCGTCGCCATAGCCTTCCACTTTCTGGATCCCACCGTGGGACAAATCATGTCCGAAAGGTGGCATCGTCAAAGTCGGTGCTCTTGTGCCCTGCAACATGGAGAAGATGAATAGTCGGTAATAGGGCCGTGATCAGCGTCAGATTGCAAGTCTGACTTTGAAGGAACGGTGTTCTGGTCTGGATGGTCGTAGTCAGTATCATGTCTGTAGACACTTTACATACAAGGAACTACTCACTGTTGATATTGGAGAGATGGACAAGAAGGAATGACTGAATGAATGGACGGAGTGTTGGCTGCTGGTAGAGGACTATGTGTGAGTAGGTATAGTCGCTTCCTTTTTGAGGCTTGCCCTTTGTCTCCTGCTTGTCAAGCGTAAGGAGAAGTAAAGGTTACTCGACAAGATATAAATGGAACTCTTGGATAGATGTGATGATGTGGCTGTGGTCGGATAGTTGTAGTCAGCGCCCAAAGCGATGGTGGGGTAGTAGGGCCTGGTGCTGCAGCTCGTGCCAACAGGATTAGTCGAGCACGATGTCAAACGGAGGTACCAGAGAGTGGCCCTGGGAACGGGTAGGTTATAGTCGAGATTAATATTGGCGCATCGGCGAATTGCGAAGTGACCAGGGTGTATGTAGGCGTAAGCGGGTCCCTGGGACGATAATAAGGGGATCCAGGACCAGGTGGTAGTAGCAGCAACGGCGGAACCAGCCCTGAAGCCAACAGGCATAGACCTGCTTCTGCGTCAATGGCCGCTGTCGTCGCTTCAAATGGCCGCAAGGGGCTAATGGGAGAATTGGGCGACTGCCGGCAGCAACGCGATTAATGGGGCAAGAGAAGCGCGTGAGGACACAGGACGATAGGAAAAGACATTGACGAAGCATGGGAGAAATGCAGCTTCGTCTGCGCCATGACACGCTTTGGAGGGGCTTTTCCACGTTTGGCTGGAGTAGCGTAACGATCGCCCCTGCTGCAGAGCGCTGCTAGGTCATGGAAGGGGGAGGAGCAGCCCTGCTGGCCGCCAGCTCCATCTGCATGTTCGCGGGTTCTGGGCCATGAGACGATCGACGTAGACAAGAGTTGCTCCCTGCTGCAGCCAGCTCCACCGCGCTCATACCGCACCATGCCGATTAGTGCTCTCGAGGCCAGGGCCTTGCACGACAGCATACGCTTCACGCACCTGGACCGTGGCCACTGCTGGTCCACGATGAAACCCCCCGGTTCTCGCAACACGCTGTCCAAGGGCCCTAGGAACGCCGTCCGAGGACGACTCGAGGCGCGGCCAGGGAGGGAGCCGGGAACAGCGATGGACAATCCGCACGCATAACTGCCCTCCAGCCCGAGGTGCGGAGAGGAACAGGGATGCACCGCCGGAACAAGTCCACCACGACGAGCATGGGTGCAACTCTTCCCAGGCCGTGAACGGCTTAGCGCCGGTCGCCAAGCGCAAGGTCTCCAGGGCTAGCACGCGGCTGCGGGACCTGCTCCATCATCACGTTTCGTCTAGTCATGTCGACCGCCCTTGACTCCAATAACATTGATGACGATCCTCGAAAATGCGCAGAGGAGGGCATCCCCGCATACTCGACCTACACTCCATCGCAATGCTCGGTTCGCCTGGGGGCTGATCTACATCTGCCCTGTCTGCTCGCTGAAGCGCACGAAGAAAGGGGCATGGCGTGCACGTGCGTCTAGCGAGCCTCCAGCACCTGCAGCCGGCCTTGAAGCAATCACACTCCCGTGATCTCTCCAAATTTGCCCAAAACACGCGATCCGCAGCCGGGGTCTGCCAGCCACCGCGTCCACCTACCTCAACGACATGGGCTCTGGTCAATACGCTCGAAACGGAGCCTGTTCAGATTGACGTACTTGCTGACGGGCAGCTTTTGCCCACATTGGCTTTGATAGCCGGCCAGATTCGTTACTGCCTGACCAGCCATGCTACAGCTGGCGCCCAGTACATGATACACGGAGCTGCATCAAGACCCCTGTGAGATACAGTGTGCGCTGACCTTCCGAGAAATGCAACTGACGCTTCGACAACCTGTCCATTGATCGAACCGGTCTAGCGACCCTCAAACTATCGTTTTGCGCTCAGGCACATACCTGGACGTGCAGTAGTACAGTGCCTACCTACGCCACAGTTCCGCACAAAAAATTCCCATCATGAATTTTGGCTCTAAATCTGCCATTGGTCGCAGTCGCTCCATTTGAGACGAAGCTCTTGGCTTGGCCGACGCACGCCGGGTCTGTCATGGTGTCGTTGTGGCCTATAATTCCCAGAAGCTTGAGGCTCACAAGCCACTGCAGTCACATGCCGCATTCGTTCATCGGAGCATTTTGACATGGGTGATGCTTAGGGCAGACGCATTGATCAGGCAGTGAAAATCTATGCAACATCAAACACCGGCAGCGCCCAGGCCCGATGTTCAGTTCCGTGTTCCGGGGATCGTTGCGTTGTTTCGTTCATACAAAACCACATTATAGGCAGGGGTCAACTGTACATGTACAAATCGAATCCCAACCGTCTGTGCAGAAGGGCGAACAGTTTGAGAGGTTCACACCATTTGGCTGATGAGAGGTATCACATCACGAAATTCATGTGTCGAGCACAACGGCATAAAGAAGCAAACAAATCAGCCCATGTGCCATTACCACGGCATCATGACACATCTTACAACTCGCAAATGAATGAGACTGACTTGGTGCAGTTCACCCATCGAAGACGTATTAGGTCTGTTTGCAATGGCGCATGCCATCCTCACACGTCATCAACGGTCCAGACCGGAAACTTGAGTCAGTCAGAAAGATGTTCGAGGTAGTTTGGATAACAATTTCACATCATGACTCAACAACGGCTCTCGCGGACACTATTCATATCGTTGCTGTCAACCCGAGTCATGTCTAAGTTGCGATGCTCTGAAGTATGCTGCGTAGCCTCGTGGAAACGTTGTACCACTGGACACGATGTGGCCATGCGCCAGTCAAATACACACATGGCTATCGTTGTCACAAATACTGTGTACATGGACAAGCGAAAGAACCTTGAGGCCACAATGGATCGAGGCCTCACGGTAGCTTGGATACTAGCAAAGGTGGGTGCCTCGCCGTGTCTTTTTCCACTGCTTAACTAGCACCACGCGCAAGGAATCACCCGCCCGCAGCTCACGCTGCAAAGGGCACATCAAGCATGCAACTTCTACCTTGGCGCCATGGCGATGTAGTTTGTCGACGCTGAGCCTCTACCACAAGCACAGAGCAGGGTCTTCAGACTTACTTCCTGAGCCAGACTGTGCGAGGTCTTTCGCCCCACGAAGCCCCCTCCCATTTCACTGAATACATTTCCGAGGCTGCAATAGTGCACTCCCAAGTCGATCAGGAGCCCAAGATCACGGCAACGCCTGTCCACACGTTGATCACTATTCGCAACTCTTGAGGCACTGCGCTGATGATCTTTTCAAGCACACGCTCATCGCGAAACGGGAGACTATCACTAGCGCCTGTCTGCGGAAGCTTCTTCATGTGCTTTCATATTATCTTTTTGCTAGGATGCAATGTGCTAGCTTTTTGGGCATTCAGAAGTTCAGGAAAAACAATACCGGGTACCTTATTCTCAACTAGTCATCAAGAGGGGTAGGGCACTTTAGCGGAAGCTATCCTCCCTGAAAGGTGCATTCAAGTTGGGCATACACAAAGTTTTCTTTCCGTCGGAACATTCGCTACTGCATCTATGAGAATAAACAATCTTCCGGAAAATTGCATCGCCATGTACATCTACATTTCGTCATGATGGCTGATCACTGTCATTCTGCGGATTTTCTCAATGCATCAAGCCACGCTATCGTCTTAGACCCGTTTTCGGCATACCCGTTCGAACCCCACGATCTAGAGAGCGATTCGGCTCATGAACGGCAGCAATCTTGCCCGCGGCCTCCGTCTGATAAACTTCGTGGCTCTCTGTCAGCTGCACGCCATTTGTACCTATGGTACACCAAACTAGCGCCCCAACCAACATTCGATGCCGATCTCCTTTTCACAGCACAGGGCACGATACCGTTTCGAGGCGAAGCTCGTCCCGAAGTGTATGCAAGGCAACATTCACATTTGCCCCTGCAATCTGGATTGTTACATGACTCAGTTTCACCAGTCTGATCATTTGTAGACACAATACATGTCAAAAAGCCAGTCGCCTGTCACCGCCGTCCGGTGTCAACTCCGACAGCAAATGTCAGACCATGATGCCACCAGATCGTGTTGCGCAGTGGTGCATCGACTCTTCTTCGAGCGCCACGCAGTTTCACAGAAGCTGATGCCGAGGGTATACAGACCTGCCTTCACATGTCGGCTTTCCATTCGCCCTCTAGTAGTTGAGATGCTCAACACTCTTCCAAGCTCCGCGGTGCGACATCCTCCTAAACACGCAAGTTTGGAAGATCTCCCGCGAGCCCAGGGGTAGCCACGGAAGTGGCGTCCGATGCAGTAGCTGTGCACATCGTGATGCAGAACAAGAGGATTTGTGTAGTAGTAAGATCTGATATTAAGGCCTCCAGTTCGTGGATCGGGCAACCTGCCTCGAGTCGATCCTGTGCCTCGAGACGTCCATGCATGCATGAGACACATGCCGGATTATTTCCCTCTCCGCCAAAATCGCCTATTGATGGAAATATACGCTCATGCAGGACACACGAGTGTGATAGGGACAAATGTGACATGCAAACCGACATATCCTTCCACGATTGGATCCTTGAGCAGCCACTGCAGCTCAGGAGAGATCTGGTCAGTCGACCTCCCTCAACAGCTTGATGTTGGTTCTGGACTTCATCGCTATTGCACGGTGTTGTTTCCGACGGCACCGTCCGTGTTGTGTACCCCCACAACTAACCGTTTGGATCTTTGCTCATGACGTTATCTTCGCCTATTGAATAGGAACAACAACGTCAACCAGTCTCAAAAAGTACATTTGAAACATCGGATTCCGTCTTCGCTGAACGTCATCATCGCGTATTGTTGCCCCTCACCAAGCACCACTGACAGAGGACACGGCCAAATCCATCATACCAAGGATCAGCTTGGTTTTTCTTGGACCGTTCTGCATGGTGTGCATTTAACAGCTCCCATTTTGGATTGAGTTCTTCTGAAAGGATCTCGAGCTCGCAGTGGTAATTACAGGAGTCCTGTCTACAACGCCACGCTGCAGCCACAATTCTGACGTGACAGATAGCACAACACAACGCCCCCATTGCAATTGGCGAATCGAAATCTCCCGCGGACTGCTCTCTTCAAGCAATCTTGGCGGTGAAGGGACCACCACCATTACCATGACCAATCGCGCAGATGAAACACCGTTGCCAAACGTTCTACGTTGAAAAACTCAATGCCCAGACAGCAACGCGGTCTGCCGACCACCAGCGTGCACGTTTCCCTAGCCGTCCTTGCTCGGATCGACCCAGAAGTATAATAATCCGCCAAACTTTGCATCTCGGCCTTGACCATCCCAGCTCGCTCGATCTAGAATCGATATCGCCACCTCGCGCCCAATTCGCAACGATGCCCATGCAGCCCAAAAGGGCCATTGACATTTCCGGCCTTGATTCAGTGCACGCCTGAAGTTTCGGTCCGGTCAGCCGTGCAGTTGCTCAAGCGGAGGTTTATGTCCAAGGCCAGAGGTGATGCAGGGACATCGTTGCGGGTCGACGTTGAGTGACAAACCTTGGATGGCCGATGGAGCGGGGAAGCTGGCCGTTGGGGGGATCGAGAGATGCCTCAGCAAGACTCCTTCGGGCTTGCCACATGCGTGGTCATCAATTGCTCGGTCCTATGGAACAGCCTCGGATCTGATTCTCTCCTTTCGTTACTATTCATAGCGAGATAGGCAAAGCTGATCCGCGGTGGGAAAGCTTCGTCTGAATAGAGTTCGAAGTGTTGTGTCGATAACGGCAGTCGCGACAGAATAGTGTCCACAGCGGCTGATCCTGCGAAGACTCGGTGCTGCTCATGCCGCCATCAAGGCTGCGGGCAAGTCTTGACGCTTGCTGATGCAGGTCTGTCCGTTCCTGAATACACTGTGATTGTTGTATACTGCATATAGTTCCAGTATAGTCTACCAATCGAAGAGCATATTTTGTGAGAAGAAATGCACTTAGGTGCTTACAAGGTGTACCTTTGCGTGATGAACTACTACTTTAAGGTTGTCCGTAATCTTTGAGCTCGTCGACCAGGCAGTGCATCTTCCTCCGTTCGCCCACCTACAGCATACGTGTACTCGGGACTCCAGACACGGATGCTCTGCGAGAATTACAACCAGTCCGAATCAAGTCATATTCATTCAACAGCGTGCTAACCTTTACTCCAGCAAGTTCAGGCCTGTAAACGATGAGTAAATGACTACCTTCCCGACCACTCTCGACTCCTTTCTACTCACGCGGTTATCCTCCTGCGACTCCGAGTAGACCTCTACACACGCGTTACCTCTTCCACCCACTTCGAACTCGTTCGGTAGCTTCCGGTCTACCAGACTTATAATCTGCCACTGCATTAATGCGTCCAAGAGCTATATCCCGTTACAGGTCTGCCGATTCCCACTATAGCTGCCGGTGAAGCCATGATGCCGCCTTGGGAGTTGAATGAAGGTCTGCAACACAGTATATGTAGAGCTGGACACATAGCCTCATGGCAGTTGTCACCTAGATGCATCAAAGACTGTAGGCTTTTGTTTATCACACAGGCCCAGGGGATTCTAGAGAGACCGTTTCTCGAGGACCCAAAGTCATCGGAACCCCTTCGAATTATCTCCACACCATACATATATAGATGCACGAGGATGATAGACCGGAGGTCTACTATAGCTCTGTAATGTGTTGTGGTGGACTTGATCGGTGTCGTGTCGATATGACGGACGGTAGGACGGTGGTGACATGCTGCCCGCTCGTACGAGTTCGCGAGAAATGTCTGCAGCGAGCGAAGATATGTTAGCACAGTGTTGCAAGAATGGAAGAATGTCTCGCACACAAAGTAGCTTGGATACCACTATTCGGTCTGTTTTCGCTTCCTTGGCTGGCACATTCTGAGAGGACGGGTCTCAGGAGGCCGCCGGAATGACGAAGCTGGCTGGAACAACTTTTAGGAGAGCTTGATACAGTAGAAAACGTGTTTCTCGCTGTGTTTTCGTCGATGCAAGCTCGAGGTGCTCAATGTGAGGTGAGCTGAAGTGACGCGATGTTCGTACCATGATGAGGACCTGCAGACACGAAGCTCGGCCAGACCAAGTGAGGAAATGATCGAACAATCGTACGTTCAGACTGCGCAAACTTTCGCGTCAGATGCTATTAATCTTACGCCACCGTATTTTCCCATGCTGCAAAGCATTTTGAGGTATGCCCGGCAGATCCAACGCTTACAGCCGGCAGTACTTACTGCTCAATGGCATCACACCATTTCCGATCCTTAATCTGCCGTAACGCACCAATGTTTCTACTTCTCATCTTCCGCTGGGTAATTTCTCGGCGCCTCACTAGGTGCAGTCTTGTCGCCTACAGCTTTCGGTCGGAAATTATGATACTGTCTCGGTCGGCCGCCATGCCTTGCAGAACCGCGCAGCGTGAGATGTTTACGAAGGATGAGACCATACCGTCAGACCCCTGGCATTTTATGTGCACACTGCATGGCCACACTGTATGTGCATCCATCGGCACTCACCATCGGCTGCTAGGAGACAAAGCTATCTAAAAAAGAAAAACTCCGGAAGCCTCCGATTCTACCCCTAGTAGATTTCAATGGATGAAGACATGCCTAGAAACAATTTAAAACTCGACTATTCACACTGTGTAACCGAAACAGTGATTTATTGGACTGGAGCTTTTCCAACTCTAGTTGCAGTTGGCCCAGATCGGCGGGAAGGTGCTAATCCGATGAATATATCTGGAATACGTTGAGCAAGTATTGCTTGTTCGTGATCTACGGTACACAGGAGAGATTTTGGCACGGATTGAAGGTGGTATCCATGTAAAGTCGCATCTTTAGTTCGTTCGGAAAAACGCTCTCGATTTGCTTCAGCGCAGAAATGCTGCACGCACCAGAGATGCGTAGTATGTCGTTTTAATCATACAGATTGACCGCTCATCGCATCGCAGTCATATTGCCATGCCCTCGTGATAGTCCTTATGCTAGCTGCCCTCGTGCCGGCTTCTGAAGCTGATATAGCTCTGTCATTCATCAGACCTCTAACATGCTTTGATACCTAGCACAAAGATTTCGAAGCTCTCAATATCTACATCATACAAGCCTTGAAATTGTCACTGTGATATGATACAGCTGAATTGATGGATCGTATATCCGCGCTATGGACCTTTGGGCGTATCATGAATTGTACCCAGCCTAGCAGTCATTGACTGATGATAGGACAGAGCGCAAAGTATCTGATCTCTAATACATAGCTGCCTCTGGCCAACCTTTTAACTTTGCTGCGTCATCCCTCCTTCTTGCATCTTCTCCTAAAGCCTTATCATCAGTCGGTGCGTATTCATGTGATGCATCGACGATAGTTCCCTCGGTGATCGGATCCTTAGTTGCGACTCTCTCGGTTGGGATCTTCTCGATATGAAGACCGTAAGAGCAAAGGTGTTTCATCCACTCTGTATCCCAAAGAAGCAGAGCCCATTTCACGATGCCCAGGATCAATGACACACGATCCGGTCTCCATGCCACATCCAGGAAGAGATGCGGGTTCTTTACAAAGAGTTCTCCAAGTGGACGTGTTCTTCTTCCATGGTCCTGCTGAACGACGCAGAGAAGTCCTTCTATGGGAGGCCCAGACACGCCCTTGATATTGTTTTTCACAATTTGTTCGGCTTGCCATCGAGTGACTGAATCCGTATTCTCACCCACTTGGTAGCAAGCTCGGATTTTGAATTGCTGTTTCCGTTGCTGCAGCCTTGGCCCTGAAAAAGATAAGGCAAGGGTCACTTGTGCGAAATTCCATTCTTCGACGTCCGCTAGTGCTACCGACGGTGCTAGCTCTAGTGCCCAGTCGTGAGCAGATGCAGTCTCGAAACTGGTCACGGTGCCCTTGTAAAGTGTCGTTGCCAGCCTGGAAAGAGACTTCACGAATCGCTTGACTCCCTCTAGATTGAGGACATTGTCTTGACTGAGAGTTTTGAGATGCCCAGCAGTCTGAAGTTCCAATTCGGATTGGAAAAGCTTCTCGAGGGCCTCCACTGACTTTTCCATCCCAGTGATCCAATCTTCTATGATATTCCGGCTGTATATACCGTATATTATTGATCGAAAGTACTTAGTCGGGTTTTCTTTTCAATTGCCACTTGATTTTGTCCGGAATCGTCCTCTGTTGCTGCCAATTTTCCAGTTCTGTCTGGGTTATATCGTAACTTTGAAGTTCCTTGGTCATTCTTTCGCGAAGTTGCACGACATCTTCCATGATACCCTCAGTGTTGCTACTCGCCGAGAGGCTGGAGCCTTGACATTTCTCCATCAGCGTCTCTCTTCTTGCCTCGCAACTATCGACCCGAATTTTGTAGCGTCTCAGTTGATCAAGACACTCTACATAATTCTGGCGAGCTTTCATGATAGTCGGGATCATCGTAAAAACCAAACTCAAAATAGAAGTCGTCGTGCCGAGAGGTCCTAGTACTTCAGCCATCTTTTCTTGTACGAAACTTTGGGTCTAATCGAAGTTCTAGTAATGTGTCCGAGACAGTCCTGGCGATCAGACCTGCAGCACTGGGGCTTGTCAGAGTTTATGATGATGGAGATGCAAAACTTATTGTAGCACTCTTGTCTGAGCGCCTCGGTTCGTGCTTACCGGATAATCTCCTGCACTTCATGCTTATAAGTTGAGCACCAATTGAGTCCACCGCTAAGCAACCTGCAACGGCTATCGAAGACTGCCATTGGATCATTCGTCGTGTTTGCAGCGATCTGCATTTTTTTCCGGAGAGTATAGAAATACAGGTGGTTCGGGTACGATAAGGACGCGTCACCTCTGTGTTGAGGCGGTGAACTGAACCTGATGTCCTTCTTCGCATCGCAAATCTGCGCCTTCAGCACGTCTTAACGTGCTCATCGATTTACTGATCCACCTGATAAAAGATACTCAATACTTAGGTACGATGGGATCGAACACCTCTACGCCAATAGATACCCTACAGAGTGGGAGTTCTTCTACTCTAGTTGACGATACATTAGAGCATTTTAGATGGGATGATGCCGAACTTACTGAGCAGAGATCTTTGCTAGATCTACTCAATGAAATAACAGTACGGTTCGAAAGTGGGATCGAGGAACGGGTTGGCTGGGGGTATTACCATGTCGAAGTGGCAATGAAACTTCATGAAGCACTGCTGAGCATACGCCACTGGGAGAGTAGTTGTCGTTGGCTCACATCAGGCTTACAGGACTGCGTTGATACATCACCCTTCTCAGGCACAAAGGAGGCGACTATAGCGCACAGCGAGAAAGAAATTGGGGACTAGGAAGAAAGCGGGCTAGTTGAGGCATTGTTTGAGATGCTTGAAACCCACAATCATCCATTGACGATGACCCTCAGGTCTTGCTTTGGTGATATAAAAAGGCACATATTTTCCATAGAATACACGTGTGTTGCAGCAAATACTACAGAAAATGCGATTGGGTAAGCGTCAATACCCGCGATTCTGAACTTTGGCCTTAAAGCTGACTAGTGTACCAGACTGGCTGAAGAGATGCATATGAAAGATTTGGACGCTGCAATCGAGAGCCTCGGATTTCAGTTAAGTCCATTGGAGGCGTTTGTGGAAGCTGAGCTAGCGAGAACAAAAATTGGTGGAGAGCCTATCATCAAGACGCAAGAAGAAGCATACACAGAAGTAAAGACTTCAGGAACGTTGAAAGATAAAGGGAGGGAACAACAACCCAGCGATACCCAACACCAGCCTGAAGACGACGCACTTTTCAAAGAACTCCACGCTCTAGGACACACAATTGTTCAGTCAGGTGAGCGCCAGGGCATACCTGCAGAGCCCACGTCAAGCACAAGCATCACAGCTGCACCAAGGGTGCCAATTAGGAGCCATAGCTCATGGACTCAGCGAGAACACAAGGACTCTGGCTCAGTCCCTGGTCCATACCCGATTTTCGATAAGGTAGAATCCACGCGAGAAACGTATCCTTGACCGTACTAACTTTTATCAGCCAGAGCCACGATTTTACGAAGGCCACCAAGTCCATATGTCAGAGAAGAAAGGCAGTACCAGAATGAAAGGTAGCTACCTGATCAGCAAGTCCCGATTTAGTCGGTCAAAAGGTTACACGAAGTACCAGCTGCTGGAACCACTCACGCAGTTGTTACACAATGAAGGCGCTTGGTACAGAGAGAAGGACCTTATGCAGGGCAGTTGATAGTAAATAGGTGGCAGCAATGATGATTTTGAAGATGCTCAATCTATGATATAACGACGAGCAACAATTCATATCGTTGATCTTGAGACACTCCAGTGTTAGCCGCTTGCAGCTTTGATGTGTAACATTTACTTTGCATGTGAAAGCAACCTCAAAGGTCGGGGTGTCATATAAGCACGTTGGGAAGAAATTCAGACATCTTGACCTTGTGAACAGAAGCGTCCTGGACAAACTTGCTTGTCCTTATTTATCCGACCGAAATGACATCGGGGCCGTTCTCCGAGAGCACTGCATGCCTGCAGCATCAAACTACTCCCCAACTCGACCCTGGTCATTGTTAGCAAATTTACACATCTCTCGATTAGACCCGTCCAATATGTCTTCTCCTCTGATCTCTCGAAATACTCTTAATCCCGGTCACTCCTCTCTACATTCCCATTTTTCGAATTCTGCGTCGAATAAATGCTGACAGCCGGGCGTTGGTATTAGTAACTTGGCAATGCTCTTCCAGCTGTTCTGAAGGTTGTATGCCCAACGACAGCACCCATAACAAACTTTTATTATTGTAGGAGGATTACGGCTGTGATATTGTTTAAAGAATGTCTATGGTGCATATAACTATCTGCATTGTGAGTCTACATATATAGCAAGACCCAACCCCAGTTTCACTGTACCTTTGACAGTCCTCGGTTCCTCGACCACTTCGACAGCTGTTCCAAACATTGTACACCAAAGACCTCGAGGAGTCCTCATCGCCATTCGTGTGATCTTCCACGAAGCATATCATATCACAACACCTTCGGCAATGCGATCAGCTCACAGTATCGCCCACTGAAGCACCTTCCATCCAGATACATAAGCCCTCACTGATCTCTCCCCACTGCTTCCTATCTTCATTCTCACAACCTTCCCTTACACACTCAGCTTTCCAAACTTACAGAGTTTTCCAGCTCCCTCACCATCACACCTACCACCACCACCATGCAGTCCCACCACTCCTCCAAGTCCGCCACCGCTACTCCCCGCCCCTCCCAGATGGGCACCCACCTGGAAGTCCCCGGCCAGTCCGTCCGCCCTGCGTCCGGTCCACCCATCGTTGGCACCTCCGGCATCAGCGCGCGCGAGCGGGCCGCTGGGGGCGGCTATAGGCAGTCCGGCGCGCATCTTGACAGCGCCCGCTCGTCGCAGTCCAACAAGCCTCTTTCAGCTGCAGGTCTGCAAGCGCCATCTGCACAGCGTACTTCCAACGCTCCGCGCTCTGAGGCGGCTCGTGCTTTCACGGCTCCAGCTTCTCAACACTCTGGCGCGGCTGGTTCGTACCACACGGGCACTTCCCGGGCCCTGGTTCACCAGCCCTCTTCTACAGCTTCGTCTTCGCAGCAGCGTCCCAAGGGCGCTCTACCCCCCTACAACGACCAGCGCGGCGTGGGCATGAAGTGGAAGGCGGGCGCGAAGTCGCTGGCGACGCTGCGGCCGGGTGAGAAGCGGCAGTACATGGAAGTTGTGACGACGACGGCGCGGATTGTGCAGGAGTGGCGGGACTAGAGGAAATTCAACTGCTTGTTGGATTCTAGGTAGCTTGTCGCTTGCGGCGTTCATCCGTGGGCAATTGGGTTGTGAGTGAGAAGTGGCCTGGCAGTGTTCATTTGCGAGGGCATGTGTCTTGCTCTAAACCGTGAAGTCGGACTCTTTGTGGCTAGATCCAAAATCTATCTATCCTTATGCACGAGTTCGGTGTAGTCTTACTAATTATAGTTTCGTATGTAACCTTTAGAGAAAAACATCTTAGCCAAAAAAAAACTTACCCTCGTGCACTCATTTGTCTCCAAGTCGTCCACCCCAACCCCTTCCACATCCTTCTTCTTTCTGACCAACTCATCATCTTAATTTAAACCAACGCGCATCTTCTCTAACCAGCATGCTCAAGCTTTGAATCTCGCCTCGTTCCGGAAGTCAGCGGAACGTAAAGCGGGTCCCCCGTTCCCGGACACGAGCAACGCAGGTACACGAACAACAGCCCTGGCTGATCTAGTGTCAGCATACAATGTGGGGAGGTGAGCTGTCTCACAATGCAAACTTACAAGAACCCAGTTGTTGGTGTTCCGTTGCCGACATTTCGAAAGAGAGGTGCGCTGTGAGTGCGCTGTGAGTGCGCCAACACAATGGTGGCTTGGTACTATATCTTTTTCTGACAATCTACGAGAAAAGGAGAACAAAATTGGGTTATGATTGATTTGATATGATTTCTCTCATTGACAACGTAAGCGCTGCATGCTTTCGTTGATTAATTTAATTACGGAAGAGGTTGTAGCCGAACTCTATGTCCTTGCACTGTTCGTCTCTTCCTCTTCATGATGTGCTTCTTGCCTCTTCCCATTCGTCTATAAAAATGAATTGCTGGATGCTCTCCATGTGCCAACGCCAGCGGTGTGCATCGAGACGTTCCAGGCTCAATTAAAACAAAAATAGGGACAACATGTCCGTTCAACAGTATAGATCCGAATCGAAAAGGTGGCCGTAAAAAGAATGTGAACGCCGGTATATGCAAGTTGGCGAGCAGCAGTGCGATTAAAGAAATTTGAAAACAGGACTAGACCTCGTGTCTGTCCTCGAGCTCAAAATCTTTTGAACTTATTCGGCGGTAGAAAGGTATTCTAGTATACGCAAATCGATCCAAGGCGCGCGCTTTCGGCGACATTCTCGGGGAGCTCGGTAGCTTGTTGAGGACGAATATCTTATACAGGAATCCGAGCAGAGTGAATCCGAGCGCAAAGCCAAGAATGGTGACGAAGACCCAATGGCGCGCAAGCCAGAAGATGACCTTGACGTCTGTCCTGTGCCAGCTGTTTCCGACGTGATGGGTGAAGAAACTCCAGGAGTGGTTGTTGTACTCGTCGGGGAAAAGGATGCGTACGCGATTGTCGCCCTCGGGGTTCGCATTGTTGAAGTGGCGCCAGACAATGCTGAGGTAAAGCGGTCCGGTGGATGCCATGACTGTGATGTATGGGAGAGGCCATCGGCGGTTGTAGTCTGTGAGCGAGTCGATTGCCTTCAGGAAGAATGGATGGCGGGGAATTGAGCCCATGACATCGTTGGAGATACCGGTGGGCAGTGTGCGGCGCACCCAGGCGGGATAGGCCAGGAGCGGGTCAAGACTGCGGTTGCATCCCTAGGATTTGTTAGCAAGGTTACAGACTGCAACGTTGGATAAACACATACGTCGTCCAAATCAATGTAGATGCCGCCAAAGTGGTGCAGGACAAAGTATCGAATCGCATCGGCGCGCTGGATGGGGTATGGGTAGCCGTCAAACGTCTCGAGAAACCACGGATATCTGGACGTCGTTAGAAAGTGTGCAGGATTCAAGGACATGGCGACACATACTCTGCGGCAATGAACTCGCGTGACTTCTTATCGGTCCAGAGCTTGTACTCGTAGTCGGGGTGCAAATCTAAGCAACTTTGCTGTGGGCCCTTCCAGTGCTCGGGGATGCTGTCATTCTTGTACGTTTGGTGGATGATCTTGGGGATCAGCTGTGGCCGGTCGTTGACGGTGCCCGAGTTTGGCGCAGGGAGCTCGCCGCGGAGGATGGCATCTTCGCGACCGGTGGCGACGAGAAGGCCCAGTAGAGTCCAGACGCTGTGCACTGCGAAGCCGAGGACAACGACAGTGACGAGAATGAAAATGGTGACTCCCCGCTTCATGGCGACGGTTCTGCAGCGCAGTCTCCTTTTTGCAGGCGATGCAGCAAATGCCAGGGGCCGAAGATAAGAGGGTCGGACGGGCGTGGGAGCGGGGGATCAAAATAGTATGCGTCTAACCACACAATCATGGGAAAACAACGTCGTGCGGCGTGCCTGGCGGACCTGGTGTTGGGGAAGATGAGAGCAGAGAGGTCAAAGAAAGGCGCTGGCCCCGTCTGCTTGTACCAGCCGCCGTGGCAGTGCTGGGAAGCCGCGACGACAATCTCGCTTGGCGCACAGACCCACTTTGTTGCCAGGGTCCTGCACGAGTGGGCCCGTCGAGCCTTTTCACCAGCCAATCTTCGCCCGCCCAGACTTGTCCCACACTGAAGCCACCCACTGAAGCCACCCACTCTTCACATGCTGCCCGGTGCCAGACGCGAACAGCGCGCTCAGCCTTTCTTCGCACCAGCCGGTAGCTCACTGTCTGCTCGAGAACACTACCATGATGCACTGGGTCAATCAAGATGCCAAAGATAGCTAACTTCGCCCTCTTCTCACCTCATTCCCGCCTAGAGCGATTCTCGGGTCAAGTTGCGAGACGCGTTCGCAGGGCTGTGCCGCGTGCAGATCGCCAATGACGACCTCTTGCATCCCTCACAGGCTCACACATGGCCCAGTGAGGTTCGCGTGCAGTCATTGCGTGGCTAACAGTCGCGGGCTCCACAGACGACTAGGGATCATATTGCACCGTTTTCGCAACAGCAGCCTCTTCAATCCACACACTCGCGGACTTGCACCTCGGTGGATCGCTACACATGCGGACTCACTTGCGTCGGGGCAGTCAACTGCGCAGCGCTCCAAGGTGGCACAAGCATTTCTCGCGACGGCAATAAATTCCTACATTGCCCAGGTGCTATTACCGCAACACAATACCTGAAAGCAGGTCACAGCGGCACGAAGCGAGCACGATGACGTCGTTTCGTGGGCAGCGACATGAACATTCTGACATGGAAGACTGGAGGCCTGGTTAGAAAACGTTTGCCCGATGCTGTTTCTAGTCATCAGCGCATTATTTCGTTGGGTATGCTACTCAAAGGTGAATGCTCCTGGTCGTTGCCACTGTCTCCAAGGTACACCAACGCATCCAGGCCTTTCTGCTCCCAAGCCACACGCAGCGATATCAGCCACTGGTCTTCTCCCCAGCAGACTAACAGCATGATTGCGCAGGCAGCTTCGTGTCTAGACGTCAGTAATCGCATCCAAAGAATTGAGGTATCATCGGTGAGAACTACATGTGCCGCTCGGAGGCTGTACGCCGCTTGACTCGCGTTTGCCTAGTAGGGTCGCCATTCACGAGACATACCACAGTATACGCAGGTGCTGCTCTACAATCTCTACCAGTCGGCCTACCCTCCGACCATGTTCACTGGTCCGCAGTACATCGTCCTAAAATACCAGTCCATGCCTTAAGTCCATTTGAAGATAGACGCGCAAGCTCTTCTCACAGTCTGCTTCAGAACATGCTCCGTGTCAGGAATCAACACACCAGCACGTCGAAGCACCATCAAATCTAAAGCCTGGACTTTAATCTTGAATCTGGCCTCTATAGGATCCTGTCATAGGCCTTGACCGCCATCAAGTCATGCACAACTTTCGGGAGCATTCCTCCGACCGGCGCTTCTCATGGTGAAGCATCCGTCACAATAACCGTCCAGAAGAGGCAATTTCTCGAAAAGTGTCGATTGTAGTCGGATATCTTCGCCGTCAAAAGAGGGAGTGTTGTTGGACGGCTTGATTGTCCGATACACTACGAGTGCTCTATTCGTACTCAGGCCAGCTCACATGAAGTGCGCACGGACTGCTTATTTCGCCCGACAGCAAGATCACTCCCGTACGTTTTACTTTGTTTGCAGTAATACCTGCTGAGGTTGGAAAAGAAGACCAACAGTTGCCCCGTTTGAGACTGTGAACATGATGTTCCTAGCTGGACGAAGCTGACTTTGTGCACCTTCGTATCAATGAAGAGCCGCACCTACCGCTCCAACCATTTGATTCTTTCCACTCTTACCACATCAACAGAAGCCGCAGTAGCGCGAACACCGCTAAACTGAACGCGTTGTCCACGAGTAATGCATAGCAGCGCGGAGACGACTGGTCCCTATCCGGATTATTTGCTTGTTGTGCATGTATCTGACCTGTCGAACATCTGATTCACTTTTCGCTGGCAGCGTTGATATTTGTCGTAACAGCTGCTGTTGTGGTATGTTTTCGCAATGCCGTACGACACGTGCCGCATCAGCTTCTCACTGTGATTTAGGTATCCATATGGGGCCTTCGCACGCAACACATGTGCTCGACGAGCATTCGTGTTTGCTTCGGCTTTTATTTCGCAAGCAAAGTCATCATGTGAGACTTTACCCCCGGTGTTTGCTCTGTGAATCAGCAAACTATGCGACTGTCTGCGAAGAGCTACTATTCACCTCCGGGCAAACAACATCACAATGCTATTGATCAGCTGGATGTTGCTGCAACATCGAAGCCAAATGTGCTTTACAGACCCTCACTAAAACAAAACAGGTACCAGTTTCTAGTCGAGCGGATTCACGCACTGAGCGCTTCCCACAAGAGCCGAACAAAGGATGTCCTGTGGGTCACGGGTACCGTACTTGTCGTTGTGGGGTTTGGTACTATTATTGCCATTGGATTCATTGGGCCTCTGGCACAGGTACTACCACAGGACGGAAGATGTCGCATGGGTCTGCGACGATACGCTACGATCCCGCTTCTTTCCTACGACTTCTTAATCAACATCCTTCTTACAGTCGTATTCGTCTACCTCCTCGGCCCAGTTATCCGCTCGAACAATCAGGCTATTCCCAGTCCGTCTGCTAGCCATCTTGCTCTTTGGCTGTGCAGTTGCCGTCGAACTAAGCGGCACCCGGACGTGCAGGTGCAAATTGGCAATGCACAAGCGGCCAAACGCATAGAAAATCTCCTCTGGCGCACCTTTATGGGGTCATGTCTGGTCATGGTAACGACTGCCGCCAATTTGCTCCAGCTCACCATTCTCGAAGACAGAGAATGGGGGTTCGTTTGCCTGACGCTTTGCACGTTGGACATCACGTGGACTGTCTCTATCCTTCACTGGCTAGTAATCTCTACCGACTCTGAGCAAAAGTCTGCCGTCGTGTTAGTTTCCGGCTCCTTGTTTCACCCTACACTAGTACCCTAATGCGGAGAAGTCGGACCATGACTGACTGCATTCATAGACTGCCCGACACTCGTGTAGCTGCTGGTGAAGATCGCACGCTGCAACCTATCCGTCGGAGCAGGATGCAATGGTCGGAAGTTTCGGTGGGCTTACATTCGCTTGATTCTGACAAGAGCACCGATGCTCCGGCAGAAGCCTCAAATCACGGGCAGGAAAGCCCTTCAACAAAATCTCATCGTGAAATGCCATCGTATTTTGATCGACTACACGGGTATCGAATAGACCAGGATCGTCGTAGAAGTACAGTTTGCACGCCTGCAATAACGTCAGGACGATTCAAAAGTCCGAATCTTCCTCCTCCATGATAGCTTGAGACAGAAGTCCTTTCCTACGGGAGCCCGGCATCTTCTTAAGTACAACTGGGGTAGGTGCTGGGGTAAAATCAATCTTTTCCTCCCGCTTCTCACGCTGGGCAGCTCGGAACTCAGCAGCACTTCGGACGCGTTCTTTGGGCGGGGGCACAACGGTTGAGTCGATGTTGAGACTTGCGGAGATGAACTTGAAGATGGCGAAGATGACGGCCCCTGTGAGGCCGCCGATCAGAGCAGCTGTTCCGAGATAGACATAGAGCGTCTACGACCAGATCAGCACTAGTCCTTTACTGTAGTCATCGGTTGCAATACCTCAATGCGCTCCAACCACTTCACACTGAATGGCAATGTAATGATGCTGTAAATAGTCTGCGCAAGGTGGTTGAATGGCAGAAGAATGAAGCTGACAAGTGTCCATATTGGGGCCAGCAGGAAGAGAATCACATAGAAGAGTTTGGTGATGGGCCATACTATGATGAAGAGTGAGACGAGGAGAATATCGCGCCAATTGGGCATTGCGAGGGATGTTGATGGAGTGTAGTGTCAATGCACATGTGATTGCTGGGAGAATCAAGATGGCTATGGCGCATTCATGGTGACGTACTTGGCATGCAGACAGAAGGCAGGTCCAGAGGAACGTCGAAGCACTTTGCACGTTGAGAGGTGGTGCGATGAACTCGCGAGACAGCGTTGGAAGAACAGCTCCCCCACGATTATTGGCCCGGGCGGGGCTCGTCTCGTGTAGGTATCGGCGATGGTGCAGCTGCAGCTCACGTCTCAATCCCTGTGTCCCGCCGCATGCGGAGCTCAGTGCTAAGATTGACCTCAGATTGGCCTCGGATTGACCTTGTCGGACGTCTATGCTACAGCAGGAGCGCCATCGCATCGCCGGACTAGGCCATGGGGAACCAGCAATCCAGCTCGCGGTCGACGACGCCGACGTCGAATCCACAGTCCCCTAGCAGCGTGACCGCGACCACACAGTCACATGCACAGAAAGAGCGGCCGTCCCATGCCCATGCCCATCCACATGCACACATCCCGCACCTTCACCACGCCGCCCGCAGGCGAGAGTCGATTCCGGCACTTACGGTGAAGTCGCAGGCGGCGCCTCCGTCCGCCTCGTTCACAAACGCCGAGTCCCATCCCACGTCGACGACACCCCGCCCGCTGTCGCGTGGGCGCGCACAAACCGTCGCAACCGCAACCAGCACCGTCATCGCCAACAACCTGCGCGCCGCCCAGGACCACTTCAAAGCCACCACCCCCGCCCCCGACACCATGGGCAACGAGCAGTCCAAGGGCCAGAGCAAGGAGAAGGGCCACTCTTCGCGCAACAGCACCCCGCCGCAGCTAGAGCCCGCCACGAGCACGCCCGAGAGAGCCCAGCAGCAGCAGCAGCAGCAGCAGCAGCAACAGCACCTGCCGCCGCCATTCTCAGAGCCCGCGCCTGTGCCCTCGCCGCAGACCCGCCCCGTCGATGTGCCTGCAGCACCCCGTGAAGAGGCGCCCGCCAGCAGGACAGACGACCCCGCGTCCTCGATAGACCCCGCCGATGCCTCGCAGACGGAGTATGTCGTGTCATCGTCGCACTTCAGCCGCCCGCCCCGCCTGCCGCTGCCCATCGAAGAGGAAGACTACCGGCCCGGCTCGCCCATTCTCGACGCGCAAAACTACTCGAGCCCCATCGACCACAATGAGGTCGAAGGCGCGCTCCCGCGGCACTCGTCGATGCTCAGCACGACCACCGCCGACGACGAGGACCTCGGAGAAGAGTTCAAAGGACCGAATACTGGGCGACCCACAGTGCCGACCCTGATTGAGTGGGAGGGCGAGGGCGAACGCGTCTATGCGACGGGCACCTTTGCAGGATGGAACCGCAAGTATAGGTTGCACAGAAAGTGAGTACAAAAAGTTTGCCGCACATTGCCCTGCATGTTTCAGCGCATGCGCGGGACTGTCTGCGCCTACCCGTGTGGCTGTCTCTGGTATACGTGCAGACTGAAACCCCATCAATCACAATGGCCCATCTCCACCGGGCTTGCAGCTCTCGCACTCTGAACTGCAAACCTCTGCTCTCAAGGGTCACACTGCATACCAACAGTACTGACATGTTTCGCCATATAGTGGTCCCAGCAAGAAGAAGGATGCCCTCTCCGCCTACATTCACATTACGCCCGGCACCCACCACCTCGCCTTCCTCGTAGACAACGACATGCGCACGTCCGACAAGCTCCCGACCGCCGTCGACTACACCAACATCCTGGTCAACTACATCGAAGTCTCGTACGACGACCTGCCCCAGCCACCCCAGCCTGCTCCCAATCAAACAGAACAGCAGAAGCTCGACGCGGCAACGCCGGTGGAGGAACTCGACAAGCCGACAGGTGTCTATCCGCCGCAAGTCATTTCAAATCCATCCGATGTGGCACCGATGAAAGCGCCACTGCCTGAACCCGCGACACCAAAAGTTCCCGAACCATCTAAGAAATATCACCAGAACATCCCGCGCTATCTGCTTGATCTCGATTCGTCGGAAGAGAGCTCACGCTTTAAGAGGGCGAACGAGACGTCCAACAATCTGCCTACGCCGCCAACTCTGCCGGGTTTTCTTGGTAAGAGCATATTGAATGGAACGACGCCGCACAAGGACGATAGCAGTGTGCTGATCATGCCGAACCACACTGTGCTGAACCATCTTGCGACGAGTAGTATCAAGGACAACATCCTGGCGACGAGCGCTACAACGAGGTACAAGCAGAAGGTGTGTATCTTGTCTCTCTTGTTTTGAACAAACGTTGACAAATTCCAACAGTTCCTCACAACCATCATGTACAAACCAAAGGAAGAAGATCCCGATCGGTATTGAGGCTTCGGCGCACCACTGTAGCAGGGTTTTATTCTTCTACATCCCACGAGATACGATTTTACGAGGACTTTTGTATGCATTATGTAATACCCCAGCGCAGCACCTAAGCGATAGATCTGGAAGAGCAGAATATATTCAACATTGCATAGAACGTGACGCTTCTCGATCTTGAGGAATCGTGTAACTTGCGTTAGCACAGTGTGGCGTGAGCAGAGCGATTTTCTTAGGCCTCGGCCACACATTATGGTCGGCTATGCAGGGGCTCAGTCGATGAACATTCGATTGTGCTCACTCCATACTGCCAAGCCTCAGCCGCGGTGTTTAGCGGAGAAAACGCGCCTGGGACCTCGGCACAAAGCGAGGACGCGGAGTTGCCATTGCGGGGATTGGTTCGAGACATGGGCCGACATAACCTCGCCATGCACGAGTCGCCGCTGAGACACTTTAGCAGCATTACCCCAGATCTCTTTCATTGATCTGCCTCTCTCCATCATTTTCACATACGATTGAAGCATCATGTCTGTACCGTACGAGCTTCTTAACAACAGCCACAATGGCCACATCCCGGCGAGTGAGCGCATACCTGTCATTGCCAGGCCGTTTGTCAGTGACAGGGCGAAGAAGACTTTGGACATTGTGAGTGAATTACGCCCCTGCTCGATGCCACTGCTGATACAGAACCAGGTAGAGCGATTCGTCGAAGAAGAATGCATCCCGGCCGACGCCGTATACACACGCCAAATCGGCGAGACCACACAGCAGCGCTTCTCGTCCCATCCCTCGGTCATCGAGGACCTGAAGAAGCGTGCTCAAGAGCTCGGACTGTGGAACATGTTCCTGCCCAAGGCACACTTCAAAGAGGGCGCTGGCTTCAGCAATCTCGAGTACGGTCTGATGGCAGAGTACCTGGGCAAGAGCAGGACGGCTTCCGAGGCCACCAACTGTGCTGCTCCGGATACGGGCAACATGGAGGTCATTGCCAAGTATGGCACTGAGGCGCAGAAGAGGCAGTGGCTTGACCCGTTGCTGCAGGGCAAGATTCGCTCGGCTTTCCTTATGACAGAGCCGCAGGTTGCGTCTAGTGATGCTACCAACATCGAGATGACTATCAAGAGGGATGGTGACCATTACGTCCTGAACGGCCAGGTGAGACCTTCACCCTAACTCATTCAAGACGTCTGGGTACTAACGTCCGTCACAGAAATGGTGGTCCTCTGGCATCGGTGACCCACGCTGCAAGATCTTCATCGTCCTCGGCAAGACCGACCCCAACAACAAGGACAAATACAAGCAGCAATCCGTCATCCTCGTGCCCAACGACGTGCCCGGCGTCACCGTCCACCGTATGCTGTCCGTCATGGGCTTTGATGACGCACCCCACGGTCACGGCCACGTTACCTTTGAGAACGTCCGCGTGCCCGCCAGCAACATGGTCCTCGGCGAGGGCCGCGGTTTCGAAATCATCCAGGGCCGTCTCGGTCCCGGCCGCATCCACCACGCCATGCGCAGCATCGGCTCTGCGGAGAAGGCGCTGGAGTGGTTCCTCGCACGCATCAACGACGAGCGCAAGAAGCCGTTCGGCGAGCTCCTCAACAAGCACGGCATCATGCTCGAGCGCGTCGCACGCTCACGCATCGAAATCGACGCCGCACGCCTCGCGGTCCTCAACGCCGCCATCAAAATCGACGAAACCAACGCCAAGGGCGCGCTCAAGGAAATCGCCGAAGTCAAGGTCCTTGTCCCCGAGGTCAATCTCAAGGTCATTGACTGGGCGATTCAGGCGTATGGTGGCGCGGGTGTCAGTCAGGACACACCCCTCGCGAACATGTATGCTTCGGGCAGGACGATGAGGATTGTTGATGGGCCGGATGAGGTGCATCTTCTGCAGCTAGGGCGGAATGAGAACAAGCGCGGGTTGGCGCATAAGAAGAGGATTGATGCGCAGATCAAGAAGGGCGAGGAGTTGTGCAGGAAGTATGGGATTGAGCCGCGGGATCCGTTGTACTTGAACAGGACGAGCGCGGAGGCGAGCAAGTTGTAGACGTGGGCCTGGGTTTTTGGATCTGTGAATAGTGTTAAGGATGTGTTTGAAGTACCCTCTTTGCCGCTTGTGGTGATGTGTAAGCGGAACACCATCAACCCTCTTCTCTTCAGAACGTCGACTCTACCATAAACTCAACCTCGCACTCCCCAGAATATTAACTTACTACATCCTTCCGTTCCGGGGCAACGAGGTAGCGCACATGAGACATGACGACTAGAATAAATATACAACCGAGAAGATGATACCATTACCCCTCCCAACCCTCTTCCACTTCTCTTCATTACACATTACCACTAAAAATTATGTCATGCGCAGATCATGACCATGCGAAAATCATTACCATCCGCCAGGTATACAAGAGATGCCCATATCCCCACAGCGCGCCCAGACCTTCGACACTCCCCCAGATTACCAATTCCTTACTCGATCAAGAGAGAGAGCATTCGTCATGATGCCCATACACCGCCCTCGACCGCCAAGCCCCAGCTTCGTCATGCGCAGGCGGCGCAAGGATATTTTTTTAAAAAAAGAGAGAGAGATCCAGACGCCTAACCGGGCATACGAGCGTGCGTCCCGTCTTTTGCGTGCGTAATCTTCACGTGTGTGTGCATTGCTTGGCCTTGGCCTGGGGGTCTTTTCGTAACACGAGGGCATCAACGACCTAGACTACTCCGGGGAAAGGAAACAAAGAAAAGGAGCTTGGCGCTTCGCCATGTAGATGCAGGCTTGGCAAAACGTGAGCAAAAAAAAGTCTGGCCGATGCGAATCATCATAAGCAGATCCCGCGGTTTCTGAGCGGTCTGGTTTGGCGGGGATCACGGGCTTGGCAACGTGCTTGTCAAGTCGGCCCGTTCTGGGGGAGGGGGGCTGGGTTTCGGATGTCATGGCGTGGGGACGGGATGATGACTGAGATGATGGCATGGCTATGGTAATGCGCGTGGAGGACGTACGTGGTCGAGCGCGTACGCAATGGAATGGAGACGGCCAGCGGGATAGGCGGAGGGCTATGGGATTCGGCCCGCTGGATGGGTGCGGATGGGCTAGGGAAGCCATGCGCTGTATTGCGGGTTGTAGAAGGGCAGTGTGCGCGAGGCGGATGTACGAGATGATTGCGACGTATCCGGATGTGATTTCGTGCTGAGCGCGTGATTCCGTGGAGGTTCGGTCTGCAGGTGGTGAGGGCGGGTTGATACGAGATTCGGTCTGCAGGCTGTGTAATGTCCAGGTCGTAGGCTTCCAGTCTCATGCGGTAAGTGTTGTACGTTGACGATATCCACGATTCGCGCGTAGTGATAGAGCTGTGCTACTCTGCCGCGAGCGACGAGTTTCTTGTTCCGTTCAAGTTGTCTTGAGCCTTATGCCCTCGTGGGGAAGACATTCCCTTCTCTTTTTCTCACCAGTGTGGTTGGGACAAGACAAGCCCACCCATATTATTTTCTCGACAGCCAAATGGCGTCCGTAATATGAGCACCGATCAACAGCATGAATGTGATAAACACACCCACACGCTGGGAACTTCTCCACAATTTGAAGACACATGGTTGAGAGACAGATATATGGACAATGAGACTGGTGAAACAGACTTGGAAAAAGAAGACGTTTGATGTTTGACAAGAGGAGAAGAAGATGAAGATGATACAAAAACCAAGAAATGACTGGTAAGATAAGTACATTACTGGCCTGCTAAAAATCTACCGTCTACCAGCATACCTTACAAACCTTCTTAGTCCCCAGTCCCAACGGCCCGGCCGCAAAGCTCGACACGAACTACCTACGTCGTCCTGTGGCCGTGTGACTCGCCATGATACGCGCTCATTCGTCAGGTAGTTGGCGCAGCAATCCGCACGATGCCGGTGCCTGGCCGCGACGAGGGTTGGTAAGAAGAAGTTCCAAGAAGCCACGATCGTCACATGAGCACGCCAAGCCTGGATATGCCCAGACCTCACGAATTGGCCATGGTCCGCGCAAGCAAAGTATCTCCGGGGAAGCATTTATCCTCGATGCCGGCGCCGAACCGTGGACGTCGCTGATCACAGTTTAATCTTGGACGGCAATGTGCGCGCGAGCCAACGTTGCGGGAGCCCTAACGTACGTTTCTGGGCACAGGAGCGTGAGCCGATCCACTCAGCGTGCAACGTCGATCGGGATGCCCAGTCGCACGGCCCGACAGCTTGGCGCTATTCATAGCGCGCGTGCTGGCGCGAGGGATGGACGTTGTGTAGATAAACTTTGCTCGGCGGCGCTGGGGACGGACTTGATGACTTGTTGCGGGTGGAGATCGCCAAAAGCGTTATACGACAGGATTGTAGCAAACGCCGAGGTTTGACCCAGCCTTTCGCGACACTAGCGCGAGAGATGGGGGGTCGTTTTTGGGAACGAGGTGAATGAAAGAAAGAAATCGTGGAATTAATTCACTTGGCCAGAAGGATATGTGTAGATGTGAGATACCAGCTGCATTCCTATACATCAGCCTTGTAGTTCATGGACCAGTGTTGTCTCATGAGCTTCTACACACTTCGATCATAACTAGCGATCATCTAACTTTATGCCGCCGTCTTCAATAAAAAGATGACAAGCAAGGAAGTGGGAATTACCAGAAGTCGTTCGAGTGGGGCGCCTCGAAATTGGGCGGTGCCGTAACGTGCCTGTGCGCGACGCGATCAGAGTTGCGTAACGATTACTAAACACTATATAGATTATCTTAAAAATAAGGCTATAATAACGTATATAATAGCTATTATTATAAGATTTCTTAGTAGTTTAGTAAATAAGACTTTATAATTATTTTATACTATTTAAATTTACTTAGAAGCTTAATATTATAGCTATATAATATTACTTAGAGTAGTAAAGAAGATAGAGTAAGTAGAACTTAAATACTACTTATAGTATCTCTAATATATTTCTAATACTTCTTCTTAGAAAAGACTACTTATAAGGCTTTATGCTTATTTCTTTAAGATAATTATATAGCTTTCTTAGTATTATACTGCTATTTTTAATACTTATATTTAGCTTATTTCTTAGCTTTCTTTTTTTCTTTTACTATCTTAGCTTTCTTCTATACTATGTATCTCTTCTTAGCTTCTTATTTTTTAAGAAGCTTAGTAAACTTATAAAGCTTCTTAAGCTTTAATTTCTAAAGTTTTTTCTCTATTTTATTCTTCTTATAGCAGTGCTCTTATATATAAGCGTTTTTAACTTTTTAAAAAGACTATAATACTATCTCTCTATAGTACTCTTAGCTCTCTTATAGAGTAAGAGTATAGCTCTTTTTATACTTCTTTTTAGTAATAAGAGTATTCTATAGACTCTTATTTTTATAGTATAGTAGCTTATTTTTAATATAAAGATAATAAAAATTAAAGTAAAGCTTTTAAGCTGCTTCTTTTATATTATTCTTTACTATAGAATATAGTAAATACTTAGATTCTTACTAGCTATTTATATAATTATCTCTCTTATCTTTTTTTCTTTATAATATTTATTTCTTAAATCTCTAGAGAATAATATTAGTATTAGCTAGTAAAATACTTATTACTTTAAAAGACTTAAGAATAGTCTTCTTCTTAAAGCTATTTATCTAAGCATGCTAGAATATAGAAAAAGAAGTTATCTTTTCTTATTAGTACTAGCTTTTAGCTATATTAAATATAGTAAGTAAGCTTCTATAAATACAGTATTAGAGAGTAGCTAAAATATAACTATATTAAGTAGCTATAATATATAGGTTAAATAAAAAAGAAATATAAGTAATAAGATATAATTATAGCTATAATACTTAATAAAATCTATAGTTATATAGCTCTTATAGCTATCTAAAATAAGCAGTTTCTATAAGCGTTCTGCTTTCTTCTTAGTATACTAATTAAATATCTATTTAAGCTAAGCTATACTAATATTATTATTACTCTAACTTAATAGAGTTATAGTAATAAATATCTTATACTTACTAGAGTTAATATCCTTTACTTAGAATAATTATATTACTCTAGAAGTAGTACTAAAAATAAAGCCTAGAGATAACGCTAAGCTATCTGCACAGACTATTACTATAATAGTTATCTACTTATATAATCTATTCTAAGTAGCGATAAATAACCTCTTTCTTCTTATAACGTACCTTATAGGTTAGCGAGCTATATAGGTTAGCGAGCTACTTTTACTAAGCCTCTACTAAAACTATCTTATCTACGTAATGCCTTAATAATAGCATTAGATAGATACTTCTAATAAATATAAGATATAGACTGCTCTCTAAGCTCTTAAATAAGATATAATACTCTCTATGCAACGCGCTGCAGCTATCTATAATATATCTTAAGTAACTCTAGGTTATTAATGCGCTAGATAACCTTTCTAAGCAGATTACTAGCCTAAATTAATAAATCTAACTTCTAACTAAGAAGAACGTAGTTATTAAGTATATACTTAAGCTAGTTATGCGTAGATTTCTTTCTAGGCTTGCAGCTATAGCTAATATAGCTAATTCTTTATGCGCTAAGCGTAGTCTAGGCTAAGTTAGCTTAAACTAGCCTAGTATGTTTATTAAATGCTGCTCTAAGCTCTAAATAAAGTTTAATTATAAATATAACTATAAGAGAGCTCTCTGCAAGAATCCTAAGGTTATATAAGACTAGTTCTAGCTTATAGAGAATATAAAGGCGAAGCATAGTATTCTTAATAACGATATATATAACTTTAATAAGTCTAGCTTTATAATAGGCTAGATCTTAACTAAAGTAGTTATTATAGCTTTAGAGTAATAAGAATAGCTAAAGATAGTGTAATAGAGTAATTAAGAGTAGATAATAGTTATCTAGAGCGTTAATGCAATAGAGTAGACTATTCTATTCTTTATTATCTTTAAGAGCTACTACTACCTCTTAGCTTAGTATAAGAAAGAGAATCTACTTTATAATTAAGTTATTATAGTCTCTAAGAATAGCTAGATAATAAATAAGCTTAGTCTATAGTAGTTAAAGTACTTTAATAAGTATATAAAGAGGAGAGTTATAAGCGCTTATTAGCTACTTATTATTAATAGCTATAAGAGCTATAACTTGCTTAAATTCTAGCAATACTGTAAGGATAATAAGATTATTACTATCTATATACTTTCTTACTTATTATACCTTCTGCAGCCTCTTAATATAAGTTATTTTGCTTCTTTAAAGAAAGCGTATAGATGCTAAGCTAAAGAGCTTATACGTAACTAAATTATATATATTATAAAACTTAAGTTCCTACTATGCTTTAAGCGCGCCTTTAACGCAGTAATTACTTCTAGTAATATCTAAGAAGAGTTTTAAGGCGCTAGATTAGTTCTATTTAACCTAGAGTAGGTTATATTAGCTCTTAATATCTATATTTATACTCTACTATTACTTACTATTAAAGACTATTCTTAGCAGTTATAAACTCTAAGTAATACTCTTAAATTAGAATTATAATTAACGCTTATAAAGGCAAGGATTTAGAGGCATATAGATAGCTTACTAATATCTATAGTAGAGGCTTTTAAGAAGATCTTAAAAAGAGCAGCAATTATTACGCATAAGCTAGTATTAGCGCAGAAGAAGATTACTAAGCTTTAAGTAGCTAATAAAGCTGCTATGTAATATAAATTATATAAAAGAAAGCATATATAAGAAGAAGAGACCTTAATAGTTAAGGATAGTCTTTAATAGATAACTCTAAAAGAGTTTAGTGCGCGTAGTAATAGAAAGAAGGCAAAGAAGTAAGTACGCGCTAAAGCAGGCAAGCTCTCTTAAAAGCAGTATAGATAGTATAATAAGACTAGATATAATGCACGTACGTATAAGAAAGTAGTAGAAGTAGACTTTAAATAATATTATATCTTACTTTATACTATATAGGGCTAAAGTAGGCTATTTTGCGCTAGAATAGAGTAGTTTTAGTAGAGGCTTAGCAAAAGTAGCTCGCTAACCTATATAGCTTGCTAACCTATAAGGTACGTTATATATATCTGCTAAATACTTATTTTACCTTTATTAATTACGTCAGGAAAACTAAAAATCTGTCGAATATTTATTTCTATTGATACTGTAGAATTGACTGTGTCGCTAGCGAGTTGATCGATTCGAGGAATTTATGTTTGTTATCAAATATACTTTGAAACAAAACTTCGTCGAAATGGTCGGTACTGTCGGAATTGTCGGAACCGTCGACGCGACGGTCTAGCACGCAACTTTACCGTCTTCAACTGTTATATTTTCTTTCTCCCTACCTACTCTGTCTTCCCACCTGCGCTATTGAAGTTTACTTCTTTAATATACTTTCCTTAGTATCTTACTACATATTTACTTCTTTCTGCATTGTAACCAGACATCACAGATATCACTAGAAAAGAGCTTTGTTAGGATTGTTGGTAACATGAGAATTATTCTATTACTATGCTAGTCCTGCATTCCATACAGTCATCTACTGTTAAGCACCGTTGAGCACCGTTGAGCACCGTTGAGCACCTTTCCTAGCAGTGCGCCGGACCTTAGCAGAGTGCTTCTAAACTCATGACAATCGGTTCAGTTTGATGCCAGTCCATGCGTTGATCCGTAACCGTCGATCCTCCACCTTGTAGTTTATCTCGGGAAGTTGTTTTGACGTCCTGCTTGCCCAGTACTTTGAGTTCCAGTTCACTGTCTGGGTTAAAATAGACAATGCCGACACACATTTCTGCCAACTGGCCGAGTCGGTACACTCGGAACATGAATTGATCCTGTGTGTTCTGCCTGTCTTGCGGCTCCATGATGACGACGTGCGTAGCTTCTGTCAGTGTGATTGCCTCTGCAAATGCCATTGAAGCCACCATGATCCAAGGCCCATCTGGATCCCTCCATTTAGCAAGCTTGAGGTTGATTTCGTGCTGTGTCATACCTCCCTGCATGACCAAGACGCTCTCGTCACCGAACTTCTCTCTCAAGCCTAGCCACGTCACTGCCTGCACGATTGGTTTATACGACCCTATGAGGATTTTGGCGCGGACTTCCTTTGGCGGTGGTGGTGTATTAGCTGCTTTCGCTGCATCTTCTGCTGCAATGCTCCATGTCCGGCTTGGCGTTCCTAGAATTTCAACCTCAGAGCATAAATTCGATAGGTTTTGAAACTTCGGGCTGCTTTTGGTTATAGCACGCGCCTCTCGTACTAGGAAATGGTCCTTGCTTGGGTATGGTAAAGAGGTCCTTTCACGCTGTTTGACGTGAAGCGTTTGACTTTGCGGCTGCCGTATGTTTTGAACTGTGCTGCCTTTAGAGTAGCAAGCGCAGGGTAGGATGCTATCGCCTGCATCTCGAAGCGGTTGAAGATCACACGTCTGCTAGCTTCTGATTCATCAAGGCCTTCTTTTTCCAGGATATCTCTGCATTGTTGCTCAGCGTTTTGTACCGTGCTGAGGAAATCTGGACATGGGCAGCTTTGGAAGTAAGGCAGGAAGTCGCCCTTAATGCCGGATATTGGTTTGCCCCACGGGTCGCGCGTCTTCAATGTTCTTTTCAACATAAACCTCTGCGCTACTGCTGCTCCTTGAGATATAAGTTCTTTATACTCATGAGACGACTCGTGTTCGCTTGCGTCGTGCTTTACATTGGCAATCATATTGCGCCATTGTTTAGCCATTGCTAGGCCATTGAGGGCTGTGTTTTGGCGAGTCCTGTGAGATGGTGTCTCCGCAATCGACCGGTAGACTGCATCTTCCATCTTATAGATGCGATCGCCAGTCACGGAGTCTCTCTTGTCGGTAGCGTTGAACCAGTTAGAGACCCCTTTCCTGTTTTGAAGGCCAATGAGTGCTAGCGACACGAAGATCAAGATCTCATTCAGTCCTTGTTCCATAGGCGTTCCGGACAGGGCCCATGCTTTCCATTGGTATCCGTGGTTGTGGCTTCGAATATCCTGGTAAAACTTGGCCATGATTGTGCCCTCCGACTTGCAATTGTGGAATTCATCGAATACAGTCCGCCCCCATACAGTGACATGACCAGGAAGCAGTATCGCCCTCTTTTCCACATGAGGACCGCCTTTGCGTATGATCGTTCGCTGTGCCGTGACGCTCATAGTGTTGTAAGCCCTAAACACATGCTTGTCTACCTTTCCGAAGCCGCAGACTATCACAAACCGTGCTGCTGACGGTGCTGGACGGTGCTTCGTAGCCTCAGGGTGCACAGCAGGCGTGTTCGCTTCCGGTATTGTCCAGTAGACTGTTTCTCGATGATCCACGCCTCCTAGCACGTAGCTCCGTGGGGCGACTAACTTATTGGCGGCAGCGAGCGCTTTGGAGATAGCGTCAGTGGTATCGATTCGCATCTCCATTGCTTCCTCTTTCGTTGGTCTGCCCATGTTCTCCGGGGGAGAGTCACTAAAGAAGCAGAACCGTAGGGCCAGCGGATCGCTTGGGTCGCACCACGTGGAGTTTGCAAGATCCATCGCGACTACCTCGTTCTTCCAGGCATCAGCTGCTCGCCCCCAACCAGTCATCATTGTGGCTGCTTGTCGAGGTTCGGCGTTGAAGGAGGGGCTCCTTTCGCACGCGCAGTGGAACGTTCTCTCGCCTTCAGTAGGACATGGCTTGTCGTCATCGTCAACTGCGTTGTGTTCTGTCGCGTCGCCTTCTGCTCGCGCATTTTGCACTTCCGTCCAGTTCTTGAAGTGAACGTGTCCCATGAGGACGGCGAGCACCATCGCTCGCGTTTTGCCCATGCCCATGGCGTTGGCAAAGATCCCGCCATTGTCAGATGACAACTCTTTGAAGTAGAGGATGTATGCGTCTGTGAGCTGGTATGGGGTGAAGTCGCAACTAACCCCCCCAACATGCCGGTAGCTTTTATTGTGCGCTTGTTCTGGAGGTCATCAATCGAAACGCCAAAGAATACTGCGGCCGAAGTCCACTCTTCCAGAGTGCAGTGTTCCATTGCCGTCCCCACTCTTGCAGAGAGACCGTCCCTCGTTCTAGTTTGTTTGTTAGCAGGGTGAACAGTGGTTGACTGTCTTCCACGGTGGACTTACTTGGCGTTCAATAAGGCTTTGAGCCTTTCCTTTTGTTCTCTGGCAAGGTCCTTTGCTGTCGTTGCCTCCTCGTCCTCCGAGTCATCCTCAGGGTCAATGTCCGAGCTGCTGTCTGAGCGGTAGTCGTCGCTGTCTAGCGGGCCATCTGGCTGAGTCTCGCGCTCCCGAGCTTCTTTCTCCTCTTTCTCTTTTTTGGCCTTAGCCAGCTCCTCTTCGTCCCTGGTCTTCTTAAGCTGCGCTTCCTTTCCTAACCGCTTTCTTTCAGCTGATCGAGCGCGGGCCGCTGCTCTGTCCCTCCTGCGTGGGCGCGGGACGTCGCTGCCAGTGTCGGAGTCCTCTGAATCTTTGTCTTTCTTGGTTCTTCCCCCGCTTGCTTTTGCATGTCTGCTGTCCGCTGCCTCGGTCTTACGGCGCTTGAGGGGAGGTCCGTCTGGTATAAGTTTGGAATGTCGGCCTCTCTTCTTGGGTGGTGAGGGCTGTTCTGGTGGTGAGGGCTGTTCCGGTGGTTCGTCAGGTTGGAATGTTACTGCATATAGATGTTAGTGGTGTATATTTCAGTTTTGAGGGTTCGTGCTATACCTTTATTAGAATCGCCTGGCGGTTTCGTTGTCTGGCATAATAGCATCACTGCTCCGAGCCTCCTCGACTTGATATGAGAGTTGACGGTGCCTAGCAAGTCGTCGTCGTCCTCAATGAGCGTCATCGTCAACGCATCCATGACCTGAGAGGTGCCTGCTTGGTACCAATCGGAGTACTTGGGCAATGACAAATGCTGGATGAGGGCATCGTACTTGAGGTGCTGGGCCCTAACCTCAAAGTAGTTCTCCTCCAATTTCTGCTGGCTTTCCTTCGTCATCAGCCTGAACATGGGGAATTGTTTGACGACAGAGTGATGCACAGCGTCTACTAAGGCAACATTGGCGTCATTCAAGATAGCCGGCTCAGTGAGTGATGCAACGCCGAACTTGTCGGTTATCGACGCTGTAGACCTGTTGGACACGACGGACGAAGACCGTCGCTGCGCCGTCTCAGACAGTGTCGGCGTTGGCGTGTTGCTCGGGTCCTCTGTCTTGACCTTGGCGCCGTACTGACGCACCTTGGCTAGCATCATCGTCCAGATAGTTCCGGCTGCAGCCTCGTGGAAGACTTTGGGTATTTGCGCATTTCGCAGCCGTGTACATTTGGCTACCGCAAGCCAGTCCTTTGACGTTGGTGAACGCAAGCTCTTCAGAAGCTGCGATTGGCTCTTTTCTGATTGGATCTTCTCGAGTAGGTCCTTTTTCTTGACATAGCTTGTAAGGTCCTCTACAAGTTCAACAACCTCTAAGGTCGTGATCCCATATCCTTCTCTTACATTCGTTTGTGACATGCTGTTGGAGCTTGTCGTGTTGGCCTTGCTCTTGTACCACTCTGGTTGCTTCGGCGGCGCCCATTCTGTGTCGCTGTCATCGTCGCTGTCACGTCCGGCCATAATAGCTTCGCGCCTGGAGTAGAAGACGGTTAGCGACCGTGTGTAATCGTTGGACTGTTGCTGAAAGTGCGTGTTAATATGTGGATGTCGCTTGGGAGGGTGCGCTTACTGACTATGGAGAGTTTGAGCGCGGTCGCAGGTTGTTGATGTGGGAAGCGCGTTATTGACGTGAGAAGCGCGTTGTGGATTTGAGAAGCGCGTTGCTGTGACAGTGGCGATGTAGCGAAACGTGTCGGTGGACAAAACAACGATAAAAAGGAATTGCAGCGTGATGTGTAAAGAGCTTGGGCTTCAATGCGCGGGGCTTGCAGAAAACATAATGTTGTTATGTAGCTGAAAAGGTTGTTGGTTGCGTTGCGTTTGTATGCACCAGGGCAAATATGCCGGATGCGGGTGGGATAATAGGTGAGAGTGAGTGTGAAGTTGAGCAATGACAATGTTTCGACTTAAGAGCCGCTCCGCATAGCGGGCATGCTTTAGTCCAGCAGAACTTAATCATGCTGAACAGGTTGCTTGCTGCAGTCTGGTGACTGTCAAGATTTCCTGGGACGGTGCAGCACCGTCTCTCACTGTCCTCTGCCCGCTACGGGCCCTGCGCGCGGGGCATCGAGAGGATGCTGCGTGGAGGGATATTAGTTCAGCTTTGTCGAGCCAGTGTGTATCGAACCATGGAGTAATCGGTTTGTCCTGCAGTTGTCCGGAGTTAGGGTCAGAGCAGCTTTGAGCTCAATGTTATTTGGATGCGGTGTGGTAGTCGTTGTCTTCGTCGGTCCGGGGCGGTGCAGCACCGTCTCTCACCGTCTCTCACCGTCCCCCCCCCCTCACCGCCGCGAGTCCTGCGCGCAGGGCACCAGGAGGATGTTGCGTGGAGGGTATTAGTCTGACTTTGTCAGGCCGGTGTGCATCGAACCATGGAGTAATCGGTTTGTCCTGCAGTTGTCCGGAGTTAGGGTCAGAGCAGCTTTGAGCTCAATGTTATTTGGATGTGGTGTGGTAGTCGTTGTCTTCGTCGGTCCGGGGCGGTGCAGCACCGTCCCTCGCCGTCCCCATCTGCCACTGCGAGTCCCGGGCGCTGGGTATTGGAGAGTATGTCGCTTGGGGGTCATGAGTCCAGCTTCGTCAGGCTAGTGGGCATCGAATCACACATTTGTTACTCTGTCCAGCCGTCGTTTAAAGTCAGAGTCCAAGTACCTTTCGAGCATAATGTTGCGTAGAAGTTGTGTGGGATCCAAGGGCCTCGTCGGTCCGGAGCGGTGCAGCACTGTCCCTCGCCGTCCCCATCTGCCACTGCGAGTCCCGGGCGCTGGGTATTGGAGAGTATGTCGCTTGGGGATCATGAGTCCAGCTTCGTCAGGCTAGAGGGCATCGAATCACACATTTGTTACTCTGTCCAGCCGTCGT